TGCGTTTACAGGGTTCGCGGACGCAAAGGTTGCTCGTGGCGTGCGTGTGCGTGCGTGGGCGTGCGCGCGCGTGCGCGTGCGTGCGTTCGTGTGCGCGCGGGTGCGTGTGCGGGTGTGCATCCGAAGTTGAGGTTGCCAGGCTCAGGCCCTCTTGCGCACACCTGTGGGACTGTGCAGGACTGTGCAGGCGTTTTCGAAGCTGTGCGAATCGTCGCATTTTGCTGTGCAAAGCGCCTGCGGATAGTCCCCCCAAAGGGCATCGCGGTTGGCGAAGCCTGCCAGTATAGGCCCTAATAATCAGAACGGACCCTCCGAACTGGAGGGTGACCTGACCCTGCAGAACGCAGGGGTTTCGACCCGAACCAAACCTTCACTTTTGCTTGGTTCCCCCCCCGCCAACGCTGTCCGTGTCGACCCACGCTGTCCGCGGGCTCCAAGGCTCTCCGTGGAGCAGGCCCAGTGGCCCGAGGCCCCCAGTGTTACGAAGGTGAAGCGTCCAGGAGGGATCCCAGTCCTGCCGGAGGTTTTACAGAACTAGTAGTATACGAATGGATGTATTCCTATGATTTTCTATGCAGATTTTACTGGCATGTCAAATAATGAGCCCAAATTCCACCAGATTCTGACTCAAACTAAACCTTTTTCCTTCCACCATGTCTTGATCTCTGCTCTTGTTTCTGGATCTCTGCTCCTTCCGCGTGTCTTCAAGGGTCCCTCATCTCCCACATGACTCCTCCCACTACAGAGGTTAAGTGACCTGAAATAGGACCCTACAGGGTTACCTATAGGATAATAGTCTATAGGGTTCTTCAACCTCAGGACCTTTGCTGGCGCCTTACTCCGGTCGACCTTGGTATCGACCTGTCGCGCTCGGCATCGGCATCGGTCCAGCGCGCCCAGGAGGAGCGCGAGCGTGGCCAGTGTGAGGGGAGCGCTCAAGGCCAACTGCAGCTGCGCCGTTTTGTTGGGCGAGGCCGTGGAGGGGGTGCAGAAGGTGCCCAAGAGGCTCAGCTGCGGTGAAGGTAGAAAGGTCCTGCGCAGCGGCGGGTTCTTTTCGCGGGGCACGTGGCTTGTTCGCCGCGCGGGCCACCAGCGGCTTCGACGCGGGCTGCGGGCGCTTCAAAGGCTGGCAGGGTCCGGTGATGACGTTTTAGCTTGGCTTGGGGGGTCTAGGCCAAGACCCCTACGCAAGTTGGGTGGTACATGGAAACCTCTCAGAGGTTCATAAAAGGCATCCCTTGCAGGGCCTTGGCATGGGTGGATGGAGGAACCTCACTGACGAGCTCGTATAGTTTCGTCCAAAGTGCAGCCTAAGTCCTTTCCACCTGTGCATTGTTTCCATCAAGTTGAATTTTTGATGTGGACACCACTCACCTTATGGAGCCTCACCTCAACCAATTAAAGACATCAATCTTTGCTCAATGTCACCAAACCATCCAACTTCAATGTGAGATATCTGGCGATCCTCTCGCTGGGTAGGATGTTTCAGACACTGGAGTCCAGCGGGATCCCAGTGTCCACCCTCGGATCCACCAGGTCACCGCTTTCTGCGTGTTGCAAGTGGAAGAGTGTCATGCCATGGCAAGTCCACCAAGTCCACCAGGTCTTTCAACCCGGTGGAAACCCGGGTAAGATCAACCGTGGAACATCTCCAGCACACTGTTTTCCCCTTGTTCCAAATCATCTACCAGCACCTTCCAAAAGGTCTCCTCTGGAGGCTTTTGTAGACTTAAAAGTCGCAGGTGGTGACCTGTTGGAAGGTCCTGGTAGGGTCCCATCTTTGCTTCAAAACTCCATCAACATCCATCAACTATCGTTCCCTAAGGATTCAAGTCGGTACGACTGGACCCTCCTGGCACCTACATAATAGTGTCGAACACATCACCGTACCTGAGAAGGTACGACTGGATCCCTAGGGGTTGTTGCATCTTCTTGAAAATGCCTCTATCATTCTTCCGATCAGTACCGCTTCCCTCGTATCTTCTTGTTTCACCCGCCCCAACTTCCCTCGCTCCTGTTCGCCATCTTCACCGATTGTGCCCGCGCCGTGAGCTCGCGCGCGAGCTCTGAGAGCAGCACCGGCAGCAGCGCCAAGGCCAAACTTGGATTTTTCTTATGCATGGAACAACAAGAACAAACACATACCCAAACACGACTGATGGAACTGGCATATTCCCCGCCCCATTGGGGTGGTGCCAGAGGGGTAAATTGATCGGCATATATGACAGACATGGAGTGTCTTCATCAGAAGAGCATGTACCCAGTTTGGGAGTTCGGGAAAATAACACCTCACCGTACGAAACCGCCAAAACCAAGCAACACGGCAAGGTCGTCGCTGGAGGTGGCGCGCAGGGCGGAGTCCCACTGAGTGGCGAGGTAAACGAGACCTGAGTTGCGGTGTGTGGCGATCGCTAGGAGCGTGCCGTGGTGGGAAATGAATTTCAAGAAAGCACGGGAAATATGAACAAACAAGGCTAAAGGGTGAACTTCATGAACCATTTTTCTCCTGAAGCTTTTCTCCTGTTTTTTCTTTTACTTTGGTGTATGAACATCCAGGAATGTTCTTCACACGGTTTCCATTCAAACCTTAGTGGGACTCTGATAATCTCAGCATGTCAAAGAGAATTCAAACTCACCTGACATCACGTAACCGAAATCGTGCCGGGCCAGTGAGGGCTAAGCTTCCTCCAGTGCACAGCGAGCTCTCCAAATCTCTCCAGGAACGGAGACTATATAGACCATACGTATGAGAACGATACCGGTATTTAAAGGAACATGATAATCCACGTTATAGTTACATATTCAAGGGGTATCAAAAAGACTTGGACATGGATCAAAACGAGATCAAAACATCCGCGATTCTTTGGAGGACACTGTACAACATCACTTTCGCTTGTGTAATCCGGATCCATTTACCTTTGCAGAAGGTGATTGGAGACACTGTTATGTAGGTTTGGAGGGTCGAAATACCTGCTACATGAGAATGTACTTGGATCCCTAGGGATTATACAAATAGAGGTTTCGCGAAAACAACATGAAACAACTGTCGTGGACGTGGAGGTAGAAACAACTGTCGCGGAGGTCCTGTTCTGCTCTGTTTTCAATGGTCAGAGACTCCAAAGAATGGAGTGAATCTCGAAGGAACCCTGATTATTGCACCTCAAACCTTGGTGAACTGTGCCTGGAACAGCATAATAAGCTATCAACAGCTATCATAAGCCCTTCAAGAGGCATCAACATCCACAGAAATCTATAGAAATAAAAAGGGAAATCATCAAGCACCAGCAGATACCAGCACTTCGACGTCGGGGTGGCCCAGAATCCGCTCAGGGGAACCATGGGGCACCAGAAATGCACTCCGGAAATGGAACTGCTAGCTGCTAGCACTGGCTAACACCGATTCTTTCGAAGGTGTTCAACTCATCTTCTCCACCCCCCCTCCCCAACTGCCACCAGGTGTCCCAGAGACATCAACGCGCTCATGCCGTCGAATGGACTGGACTCGGAACTCCTGCTGCGTTCCAATCATGCTGCGTGCAGCGTTTCATTCACGGCGCAGGTGATCGAACCGGTGGACAAAAGGCTGAGCCGTTTGGAAGAAACAATATGCATATTGCCCAGACACTCCATGTATGCCAGTGTCTGGGTTGAATCATATTCCCAGACACGACGAATGGGACTGGCAGTCCGGACTGCCGATCAGTTGACCCCGACTTCAACCACCCCTGGCCTGATCGGCAAATATGACAGTCCCATGGAGTGTCTGGGATTGGTAGGTCAATATTGGTCAATATGCGCCATATATATATATATAACGTATATAAGACTCCAGAGCTGTTTCCCTGGAAACACCTGGAAAGTCAATTTTACTTGAGCACATGAGCACTGCTCAAAACTCTAAACTGAGGCTGACTCCCGGTCTGTTTCCCTGGAAGATAAAGTTCTACCTGTTCCCTTCTTTTGCCACAGAGCGTGATCGCCAAAATCTTGGCATCTTGCTCCAGCTTGGAGCGGGTTTTCAAAGGGGTCGAGGTCTATGAGGCAGACAAAGATTCCAGTCGAATACCCTCCCATGGCACTGGAATATATGCCGCCCCATTGACCCCCTTTACAAATCAACCACCCCAAATATGTATGATTAGCTAGGTCAATATGTCATACATGCATGGACCAACGAGGAAATGGAGTGCACTGTAACACCCAAATTCTGAGCTTTTCCTTCCAGTGACCCACCAAGAGCTTTTCAAACTGTGAGGGTTCTCATGGACGTTCTTCGGTCTTCGTCAAAACTTAGGTAGGTCACAACTGGCCAGTTTACAAAGGATCAAGTCAGTATAGGTTTGCGTGCTAAAGTGGTGCAGTCCTAGTTCGTAACATATCGTGTTAAATGAACTCGCCCAGGACTTGTCCAGTGACCTTCTTGGAGTCGGCTCCAGCATCATCCAGTGAGCTATTGCTATTCCAAGCTCGGGACAAAGAACTAGTCATTCCGAGTGCCATAGCTATATATATATAATTCCCGTAATTCCTCTATAATTCCAAATCCATATGACTTCCTATCTTCAACACAAATCCATGGTGGCCAATGAACATGAACTTCCGCGACACGTTGAAAGCAAAGACTGCCCAGCCGATCCATCGGCCGAGCGGCGGGGTGACGAAGCGCACCAGCAGCTGATAGGAGTCGTCCTCCTGCAGGTGCCCGGGCGGGCCCCTGGTGGGCCCCTGACTGCAGACTGACTGAGGCGGCCAAAACTCCAGACACTAACCATGGGACTGGAATAGATAGTTGACCCATGAAACCACCCCAATGCGGGTAAATATGTCAGTCTAATGGAGTGTCTGGGTACTGACTCAGTAGTAGGGAGAGGTGGGCGATCTGGCTTGTTGGAGTAACATGATCGCCATGATCACATTATGGTGATTTACATCTTGCTACCGGCTTCTATTGAATGTTACGAGTTGTGATCATTGAGATATACTTGAGATGATTTGGCAACACAGATCAAACAAGCAAAGCAGCCGCGACTTTTTGTCTTGGTAGGCAACAAAGCCACCCCTCAAACCATGCATGTTTGGGGAGCTTCCCAGTGGAAAACAAGACAAATCACAAACATGTTCAAAAAGAAACAGGTCTTGTTGCACCTCCCATCAGAACAACAGAAAGCGGAGGTCGGCCAGGCCTTTGACCCCCCGCATCCTCTCCCCCATGCCAACAACGTCTAAAACCACGAACAAATAAGCCCCAAAGGGCCCAGGGCTGTGAATGGATCGGTGCCGAAAGAGCCACCAACTCGCACTCGCCGTGTTGTGATCACCACACACCCCGCCGGCGCCGATCAATTCACTCCACCCACCGGCTCTGCTCCGCTCGCTCCGCTCCGCTTCGGGGCCGCTCCTGGCGCAGGAGATGCAAGACCGTCTCCTGAGCCGAACGGAGGGAGACGAGATGGCCGGCGAACCGAAGGTCGAGTTGGCCTGGTGGAAAGTACCTGGAGTCGGACCTGTACATATGGGTATAGAGTCGCACCTGTCTTTAGATAGAGATCGATATAATATCCCATTTTCTGGAGCACTTTGAAGGGTCCACATAAAGGTTATACCATGTTCACCAGTTGAATTTGAGTGCAGTGTCACCAATCTCCCAGAAAGGTTGGGCAGGTTCTCCACTCTTCCTGGGTTTTTCCTGGGGGTTCTTTGTGGGTATGTCCGGTCTCATCGAGCGCCAAATGTCCATCTGCCAACCCCCCCTCCTTTCGTTTTGTTTCATTACCCAGACACTCCATGGGACTGCCATATATGCCGATCAGTTGGGGTGGTTTGAGGGCTCAATGTAGGCATACATGGCATACATGGAGTGTCTGGGTTATGTTTCATTAATTGTTCATCGTAGAAACCTGAACACCCACACATACTTGTGTTTTCCTTTGGAGAAGGAATGTGCTGGTTTGAAGGTGCTCAGTTTTGCCACCCCCGAAAGCAACAGGAACCCTCTTATCCTCGAGAAAACTGACTGCCACATGCAAGCTGCTCTTTGCTCCCTTGCAATCAACATTAATCATTTGGATTTACTTAATAAAACCAATCCTTTAAAGCTATACTATAGGTCCACCTCAAAAGTCCCTGTCAGGTTCATCGCCCTTCGCTCTGAAACGCCGTCCGCAGCTGATCCAGCTGCCCGTCCGTTCGATCCCAAAACCGTTTGCCACGCGCATGGCATGACTCGTCGCCACTCGTCGCGCCTTCTCGTTGAGCGATTCCGCATCCAGCGCCTGGTCGACCGTGTCCTTCAAGAAGTCCACGTGGCCGGGCCAATCCTGCCGAGATGGACCATATATGCCCAGGCCGGGCTCCTGGCCCATCTCCTCAGGTGGTTAGACCCCCCAAACCACCCACTCCAGGGTCTTAGAGACCTATGGGGGATGGGGGATGTCAGCTCCAACCTCCTGCAGTTCGGTGTTACCTGACGGAGGTACTGCACAAGGAATCACAAGGACACCTCTAGAGTTCACTCTCCAACAGAACCCCCGACTGGTGAAATTCACACCCCGTGAATTTAAATTCGGAATCGGATGGAATTGCTTTTTCCCCGCATGGGCACAGTAGCACACCTGCACCTTGCATATTATATCTTGCATTCCTGCACCTTGCTCATTATATCATTGCATATATCTTGCATTCAATTTCCCCTTCCACAGATCCTCACAGTTCCCCCCCTTCCAGCGCCCCGTCCCTCACCCACCGCGCCGTCCGTCCGGTCCCGTCCTCCAGCACGGCCGTGGTGCGCGGATTCACGGAGACCAACACACCGGAGTCCTGGCGTGCGTCGGTTAGGCTCAGGTGTTCGGTCTACTACGGAGACCGAACCGACCGATCACCGGTGGAGACGACGACACGGGAAAAACCCGTATGATCATCCTGCAGGGGTTCGGAACTTAGTTGGATCTGTAGGGAGGGTCTGACTTCAGATGTGTTTGTCCACTGCAAGCAGCTTTAAGGACCTAAGGACCTGCACTGTGCTGCTTCAGGTGGTGCTGCCTGCAGTGGCCAGTGTTGTGAGCACTCTTCTGCACGTGGCCAACGATGGCTGTCTGATTGCTTTGTGGGTGACTGGTCAGGCATTGGTTGTTTTTTTGAGGGTTTTGGTCTTCCCCATTAAGATGTAGAGTTGCCAGTTGATAAAATAGCTGATGGCTAGATTCTCAATCTGTGCTGCGTGCTCTGGCCAATGTAGCCCACCAGACTGGCAGATCGCTCTTAGAAGCCACGAAAAGCCAACAGAAACCACCCCGCGAAAGCCAACAAAGGACACCCAAAGCCAACAGAAGCCACCAAGCGTGGACACAAATTCAAAAAATGGCATAAATTCCTTCAAACATACCAGGTGCCACATTCAAGTGCTGACTCCCGAGCCGTTTCCCTGAAGAATAGGCCGGTGAACCTCTTTTCACCGGTTCTTGTTTCGTGGGAGACGGAAGACTCAGACTGGCACGTTCACGAACTGAGCAACCGGTGAGTATCCACCCAGCCAGGCCCTCTGGCAGGAACTTGGCAAACTCCTTGTAGTTTATAGAGGCTATCATCCACTGCAGTAGCAACACAACAAAGCAGCAGTTTTGCAAGGCGCTGAAGAACTGATCCAAGTATAGTGGTGCATCCATCTCATGACTCATGACTTTGTGTACTAACTCTCAACTTTCAGCTGTTCCGAAGCCGCTCACAATGTAGAAGCCTCCTGACACAGTCACGACACTGCACAAACAGCAGCAAAGACCGTGTCCCGTCTCCACGTATGAACGCCTTACGACCACCAGACTGAGCAAGTGAGGCTTTCCACTTCCATAGTTGGTGCGTCGGAGTGTGTTTTGGCAGAACAGCAATGTGTGTTGAGTGTACGACAGATGAAACAGCAAACATAACATTGCCATATGGAGAAAAAACATGAACGTGTGCGGTGATTTTGTCCACTTGAGACAGCTCCAAGACACTCAAAAGAACTCCAACAACATCAACCACCTTCAACAGTAGTCATGCACTTTTCAAGCACACCAAACCCAAACCAAAACCCTCAAATCTCCCGAGTCCTCCTCGCTTCTTGGTGGACATCCGGAGGCTCCCTCTCGGAACCCCCGCGAACGGCTCTCTTCTCCGCTCTGCTCCGATCAAACGCGAACGCGTTCGTCCCAAGCCGCTCGTCTCCCGCCTTCTCGGACCAGCTGGCGGAGGTGCCGAAGAGGGGAAGCTCCATGCCTCACAGTACGGTCGGTGTCGGAGGTTCCTTCGAACGGAGAGGAGAGGAGAGGTTCGTGTGGGCCACGGTCGGTGGGCCCAGTGACGGTCGGTTGCTTTGGTATCTTGGTCAGAAGATGTTTAGGACATGTGTCTTTGGATTCAGCTTAAATGTTTGGAAGGTCCAATTTTGTTGGTTAAAAGAACACATGAATCAAGACAGGTTATCAAGGATGCCCAACATGTTGCTGCATGTTGACCTATTTGTTGACCAAGAACATCCATTGGGTGCATTTAAAAAGTCAGGTCGTTTTGGGTGGTTTTGAAAGACTACTCTCTCCGAACTGTTTCTACAAACAAATTGTCTTCCAGGGCGGGGCAATTTGCTTCAGGCAGTGTAATCTCTTACCCTAGGGATCCCGTCGTACCCTTCTCAGGTACGACTGGACCCGAACATGGCACCTACATAACAGTGTCTCCGTCCTCACCGTACCTTATTCGGTTCGGTACGACTGGATCCCCAAAAGGGGTTTTGTTGGACGAGCGTAGACCGTCAAACGCTTCCCAACCTTGAGGCCAGCCAACTACTGTCGCATGCGACAGAACACACCACGTGATTCGTCACGCACTTTTGGTAGTCTGGTCTAGACCTAGAACCCTGTTAACCTATGTTTTCATATATATGGGTAAAAGGCTATCTTATATTTTGGGTGTTTGATGGTGTTTGGTGGTCCAAATTAAGATCACTCAGGCTCTAGGTCATGTTTAGACCAAACTTGAGGATTGTTATATATAAGTACGGTTTCTATCGACGATACTGTTTTTATCTGCAGTGTAGATCAACACTGTTTTTTTGTTGATTCTTCTTGAACTCCCGAAGAAATCAGTCCCCAATCATTCATAGGATTCTTCCCGGTCACATGGGGGGGGGTGCCTACATGTGCCTATAAGCCTCGTACATGCCACCATTCAACACCATCCTTCACCATCCTTCTCCTTCGCGAAGCACTTCCGAGCCACGTTGGAAGGCGCTCAAGCACTTCCGCACACGCATCTCCCGACGCATCTCCATGGTCATGGGCCGCTCCTGGCGCTTTTCAGCGGCTGAAAAGCCCCAACAGGATGCAACCCAATACAATAAGGAACTGGAAGATTGGCGTTGAGATCTTTTGAGGGGCGTAGGGCGTAGGTAGACATTCCATACCTAAACATGCCTAGACAATCTATAGGCCTTTCAAAATAGAAGGTTCGGGGCTTTCAGGATCCGGACTCCTGCGAAGGTGTCTCATTTTTCTGAAGAATTCTCATAACAAAATGCAAGTATGTTCTATGTTCATACAATCTGCCATATCTTTTGCACATCATATGTTATATAGTCCTCTTTATAGGCCTTGTTGGCCCCCAAAAATGGAACCTCGACTTGCTTCCGGGCTTCGCTGACGGGCCGCAACCCTACGCAAGCAAGCGAAAGCATCGGTGAAATCAGTGACCCCCCGTCAGCCGGGGGAGAAAGCGTGGTGCGATCCGAGCACCACCCCCAATTAGGGCTCCAACTACCTGCTGAGAGGATGCTTGGGGTGGGTGCCGGCCCGTGCCCACCGAACCTGACGATGTGGGCCAGGAGCCCTATAGGGCACAAATGACCAAAGACCGGAAGGCATTTGGGGATGAGGAAGACACCGGAAACTCCATGTGTGGATGCCCTGTCCTGTGTGTGGATGGTACGACTGGAATGCTCTAGGGGCGCCTTTTTCCCCCAACAAAACAGAACGGGGAACTGCCTGGTACTCTTGAAGACCTCCCATCTTCTCCTGAAAGACCATCTCACCAGGGCGAAGCTCAGTCACCTGCCATCGCATGCATGCTGGGAAGGTCGGATGGTGAGCTCCAGTGCTGAGAGGACCATGGAGAGTCTGGGGCTGCGCTGAGCGGCTGAAGTCTGGGCCCCAAAAAATCGGACTTGGAGCAAAAAGGTCGGGTAGGAAGATGTGATATGGGCACATCTGCAAATCTGCAGGTGCTTGATCTATGACTATAGTTATGTTTGTTTCATACAACAACACCCCCTCTGATGACGTCTCATGTGCTGTGGCTCTAACTGGTCAGAGGAATAAACACAAAAAACAACAGCCTTTTGAGGGTCCTTCACGGTCACTCCTCATATGGTTCTGGATCAAAACGGGACCCTCGTGCACCAGCGAACATGAACAGAAGATCTTGATCTACATGACTAATCGGTCAACCGATTTAGGGTAAAAGGCTCCGGGTGCCATGACCCACAAGCCATGTAATATGTTGAAATATGTTGAATACTGTGTTATTCGCTCTATTCAGTCCGTCTTGGGGTGAGGTGATCACCATTATTATATATAGAAATTATTCCCTTCAGAACACTCCTGTCAGGCTCTTCCCTGTGTCCTTCCGTTAGGGTTTGCGCCTAGGCTAAGAGGTCGAACCAAAAACTAACAAGTCCAGCCTGTCTTTTGCGAGCTGCAAGATGTTCGAAGGAACCATGTATGGGACGTGAAACAAACATTCAATCAAACACAAACATGCATGCTCTGAAACCATGTGACAAACGTCCCTTTTTCCCAACCACGGCCCCTCCTCCCCAGTTTAGTTAGTCACCGACGGAACGGCCCGACGGAATGCCATCGCCTTGGGTTTCTTTGCCACGATGGCCCTGAGGTAGGCGCCGGGCAGTTGCTGGACGATGGCCACCGACGTGAAGAGCGCGGTGACCTGACGGCGGTCTGTGTGCAGGATGAGTCCGACGCAAGCGTGAGCTGGATAGGAGGGTGGCAGTAGGGGATGGATGAATGTTTTGGGGAGGATGGCAGGTGTGCCAAGGGTATCTTGGCAAAGGGGTGAAGTAGATAATTCACTCTGAATCACATGGCAACATAGAATGCTCCTGGTTCCAAAACCGCGCTTGGTCCCAGCTCCACGGTTCATTCCCCCCCAAAGACAGCGAACCCTGACCGGTCTTTTGGTCTTTCGGGTCCTGTCCACCGTCTTTAGAGAACCATGATAATCATATTCCACCGTCTTTAGAGAACCATGATAATCATATTCCACCACCGTAGACCCCAAACAGTTTGTGTTCTTCAAAATCGGAACACTCTACAACAAGAGCTTTCGACCTCCAGAGCCGGGACACAAAAGATTGCAAGGCAAAGGCGGGCACAACAGTCCAGAGCTGGGAGACAAAGAAAGGATTGCAAGGCAGAGGCGGATACAGTAGTCTAGACCTGGGAGACACATGCAAAGGATTGCGAGCACAAATGTACAGGATTGCAAGGCCCAGAACTGGGAGACAATTGTAAAGGATTGCAAGCGAGAGGCGGACACAGCAGCCCAGAGCTGGGAGGTTGGCACCGCGCGACAAGGGGGGAGACAAGAAGGAGACAAGACCGGAGACAAAGGGAGAGAGTTTGTCTCCCAGCTCTTGGCTGCTGTCAGGAAGGGAAACAAGAAGGGAAAAAAGGACACAGAAAGGAGACAAGCCGGACACAGTGACCAACAAGAAGAGAGACAAGAAGGGAGACAAAAGGAACCAGAAGGGAGACACGGCGGACACATGACCCACAAGAAGGGAGACAAGACCGGAGAGACCAAAAGAAGGGAGACAAGAAGGGAGACAAAAGGAGAGAGAAGGGAGACAAAACGGAGACAGTGACGAACGAAATAGAAAAGGGAGACAGAAGGGAGATAAGTGCCCAACAAACAAGGCGGACACAGTGACCAACAAGAAGGGAGACAAGAAGGAAGTCAAAAGGAAACAGAAGGGAGACAAGGCGGACACAGTGACCAACAAGAAGGGAGACAACACCGGAGACAGAAGGGAGACAAGGCAGACGCAGTGACCAACAAGAAGGGAAACAAAAGGAGACAGAAGGGAGACAAGGTGGACGCAGTGACGAACAAGAAGGGAGACAAGACCGGAGACAAAGGGAGACAAGGCGGATGAATGACCACCTAGAAAAGCATTGAGAACACCTAACAATAACCTGCTTGGGAAAGTTAAACCGGATAGGGCACAGCCAACCCTATGGTTTAATGATATGAAACGAAGTACGGCTCCCGAGCCCTGACCCAGGCTTTTCCGCAGGACTTGAGCCAAATGCAAGGTGATATAAAAATAATGTATGGCTACCACCAGGGAGGGTTGTTTCACATGTATTTTCTCAACTCCCCCCTCAAGCTGTACATGGTTGACAGAAATGCGCTTGAAGCACAGTTGATTTCCGGTATATATGCAAGAACGGCGCACACACAATTCTTAGTCAGTTGCAAACTGCAAGTCATGGTGCAGATGCATAACTGACGGAGGGCCTCAGGACGGATGGCGCCTCATTTGCGCACACATAATTCCCCTCAAATCCGCACACAGACTTTTATATATTTAACTCAAATGCGCACACATGATTCGCCTCATCTGCGCACACATCGATTACATTCCTCTTTAAACAGCCCATGTTACCCCAAACTCAAATGCGCACACATGATTCGCCTCATTTGCGCACACACAAATTGAGTCATGATGATCTCTTTTTGCTCATTGCTTCGTTTGATTGATGATGTGTTAATAACGTCCCTCTGGACATTCATCTACATGATGATCTCTTTTTGCTCATTGCTTCCACAGGTTCACGTCACACAGACGCTCTGCGTTTGATTGATGATGTTGGGTTGGGATGGGTGGGTGGGTGGGGGAATAATTCATTCATTCATTCATTCTTTCTTTCTTTCTTTCAGCCGTGTAAGGCGCGTGTACAGCCGAGGAAGCCGCGTGCACATCCGAGTTTCGCGTGCACAAACAAGATCAATTCTCCGCGTGTACATTCGAGGGAAATTCCGCGTGTACAGACGAGGCTCCGCCCCTCAGGACAAAGCATTGGCGGCATCACTTTGGTCAAGGAATTTGCACGCTGAGATTCCGAGGCACATTAATTAATGTTAAATACCCCCTGTTCTAGCAATTCGCGGACCGATCCAAGATTCACTCTATGGACTCTGTTGGCTCCACGGAGCTTGGCACTGTAGACAGCCTTGACAACCGTCATTGCTGCCTGGTTGTCCTGCTCGAAAAGAATATCAACTTTTGATTCTACCAAGGTCTCTATCATTGTATGCAAATGCAATGTTTCTCCGAATAGTGCGCCTGCAAAAGCGATTAATTCAGCCTCAGTGGTGCTTGTTGCGGTTGTTTCTTGCTTTGCCATATGGTGGGACAGCATGATTGGCCGGTGTGGATGACAATGGGTGGTGCTGATGAATGACGGAGAATGGTGATCTCATTCTGCAACATGGCAACCTGGCTCACCAAAGCTTGGTGATCCTGTCTTTGGGATTCCAGTAGATTGGATTGAGATTCAATCATGCTGGTCAACTCAGGTCAACTCACGGTTGCGTGCCTCTGAAACCTGCAACCTTTGTTGGGATTCATATACGGCCTGTTGGGCTTCACTGAACGCTTGATGAGCATCATCCTGAACCTGTGCAAGTTCCTTCTGATGATTGGCTTGCAATTCACTCACTAGGACATTGGCTCTATGTTCAACACCTCGGGAATGTGCCTGAGCTTCATGTTGAATACTTTCAACCTGACTACGGGCAGCGTGGAGAGCTGCATGTGCTTCAGACATAATCTGGGCTTCACGGGCAATGACTGCATTCGGATCAACACCGACATTTACCTGCAATGACCTTCGGTCTTGGTGGTGCATGAACGTCCTTTGATCTTGGTTATGCACAACGGTGTGTTGAACCGACCTTTCATCGCGCATGTGAAGAGCACTGGTTTGAGCTCGTGTCATGGCAACAGACCCTGGACCCCGATGCCATGGCGGACCTGAAGCGGGCCGGGATGATGACCTACCACTGCTGCTTCGCGATGAGCTATCGGCACTTTGTTTGGTGTTGGACTTTCTTACCTGTAGAGCTCTTGATGGAACAGCTTGAACCGGTTGCTCTGGTGATCTTGTGAAAAATGTTGCCCTTGCCACCTTTCGCACGGGCCTGATTGGTCCTCAATGTGGCCTTGATGGATTCAAACACAGCTGTCAGGTTCCAGCAAGATCTCACACCTCCTCCCGGTGTTCCAATCCGCGGTACCCTGATGTGTGCAGCCGACCACAAAGGATTCTGTTGCCCACCAATCTCCTCACACACACACACCCACGTTGTCGTCGATGTGCAAGAGGGATTGACGTGGAGAGATGATTTCAAACAAGCAAGACAGTTTCCCCGTGTATCCAATAGGTGCTTTGCCCTGGCACACAAGAAATGTGAGGACTCTCGTGGCAAGCTTGAAGAACCTTATCGAATCTATAGTCTGTATGCACGTAGGAGAACACAACCACTGTGAATCGAAGAGACAATTCTCGCACCTAGGGAGAATCTTACCGTCCTCGTCCGGTCGCTCTGTCTTCTTTCCTTCGCGATGGATGTCAAGAACTTGATGAAAATCAACTGAAACAAGACTGCCTTCTTCGAAAAACAGCTGCCTGTCAGGATAAACACGAGTACCGTCACCCCTTCTGCACGCGTACCAGTCAATCCAAGCTTCAGATGATTCCTCTTCCTCTGTGTCGTCGACGTCGATCACTGCCTGGTTCGAAGATGCTATACTGCTTGATTGGAAGAGCTCGCAGGCGCTGACGCAAAATCAGTAGATGAAGATGCTTGATATGCAGCACGAACTCCCCTTTCCAACTGCACGTTCGAAGATGCGACACGAGTGTTTGCAAGATCAAACTGCTGCAACCTCACTTGAAATTACTGCGGCGGATCCGGAGGTCGTTCTTCCTCCTCGTCGCTAATCCAATTCGGCTCAGCAATGTTTGAATCCAAATCGTCACTCTCGTCCCTAGGCAACAATGGCTCGCCCTGGCCTGGCAACCAGTTCACCCAAGTATGGGCAGTCTCAGCGGCCACTCTCCGACTGTCGCAACTGGCGGGAACAACGCCACCTAGAGTAATTGACCAATGCCTGAACCACCTCTAGCGAACCATTGGCAAGAATGTCAACACACAAGTCGTCAGAACACAACGTTCCAACTTCGGAAGGAGAGCCCTTCTTATTTTGGAGAAAGATTAAAGCACACCTGGTGTGCAACTCTGCAAGTTTAGTTGCAATTACAAAACATTCCCCAAACACTCCATGGGACTGGCATATGCAAAAATACAGTAACCCCACTCTGGCACCAACCCGGGGCGGTAGCCAGTCCCATGGAGTGTTTGGGATTGGACCTTGCACTGTCCAAGTTGACCCCTCCATCTTCGCTGACTCCAAGTGGCCAACAAGGCCACCGGCCGCAACCACCAGGCCTTGCGGGTGACCGGCTCGGTGCGGTGCGGCCGATTCGGCGAACGCGCACGTCGAACCCCCAAACTGAGACGGTCTGGCCATGGCGGTTTATATGGGTGAATGTAAATATGCCAGTCGTGTGGAAGTGTTTTAAAACAGATCTGTTTGAAGAAGGGGGTGTACCAACCTCTATAGCCATAGGCCATAGGTTGGGTCTATCCCATGTCTATGGTGACTGTCGATGATGATTCGGCTAGGTTGCAGGCCTTTCCATCTTCCCCAAAATAGGGACACTCTTTCTGTTTCAGGTCATCAGCCATGAATCTGCAGTTAACACAGCTCATGTATGGCTCGGCTCGGACTCGGACACATGACATCGTGACACACGTCTACGTCGACCCCCAGTCAACCAGCCACCTCTGGCCGACCTTCTCACCTTCGAAAGCGGCTATTTCTTTACTTGGAGTGTCTGCCCTAAGGATCATTGGACCCTCCGAACTGGAGGGTGACCTGACCCTGCAGAACGCAGGGGGACCCTCAAAACCTTCACCTTTGAGGGTCCTTGATCCTTAGGGTGGGAACAATCCATCTTGGGGGTTGAGACCGGGTGATCATGGTCGACCGGTGATGTCTAGCTCGACCTCTCCGGAGTCTCCACGACCGTCGCCCCGACCTCCGCCCCCGCACCTCGGTGGACTCCCAGGCCGCGGTCCAATGAGCGCCGCTGTCCCTCTTGCCTGACCCAGTGCACTGAACGCGGGCACGTGAAGGAATAAAATTCTGCCAAACACGTAACACGTAGTATGTCTTGTTTAAGCAATGTATGCAGTATGCAAGCAACCTAAACCTAGAACTCCTCCATTTTGGGGTTGATGGTCTTGCCATGTTCTTCTGTTCTTGGTTCTTGGATCCCGTTTAACCCCCCCCAAAAAAAAAGAAGGCACCCTCGAGGTAGTTCTCTTCGCATCCTCCTTCTGTTCGCTGCATCCTCGTCCGATCGGTTGACCTTGAAGTGAGTCTTAAGCGGGTGAACGCTCTGCCCTTTTTCGCGCGACTGGTGCTGGAAGTCCGAAGTCCGGGGTGCGCTGTCCTGGGCTTCTCTCCCTGTCATATTGACTCATCCCTCCCAGCGAACTGAGAGCAAGGACGGATCCGAACGGAGCATTTCGGGCATCGCGACGAACGGAGCGATCGGACGCTACGCTACTAGGGCTCCTGGCCTTACTACTAGTAGCAAGAAGCTACTAGTATCTATACATGTATCTACCAGTATTCTAGAAGAATAGAGAGCCAGTATAAACCAGTAGTAGTTTATCAGTATTCTCTACCAGTATTCTATAAACAAGAGAAGAGTCCGAACGGAGGGTGCCGGTTCCGGGCTGCCCCCGACGTCACATCGTCACATCCACGGCTGGCTGGGACGAAGAAAACCACCTAACTCCCGGTCCCTCTGCTGAAAAAAGCCCCTACAAACACCGGAGAAAAGGCACATCTGACCTAATTTCCGAAGGGATCGATTCGATGAGAACTGCTCGGGACTGCTGGCGGAGCCCTGCGACGGAATGTCTGAGCTCTGAAGGCGCCTTCGGCGGTGCGTCGCGCAGCACGGAGCCAGGCTGTGGCCGCAGGAGCCTGGTGTTGGTAGCCGAAAGTAGTTGATGGCTTTGAAGACCATGGTAACAGATCGGAACTAATCAGTTCGAAGGTCTTTGAACAGATTGGGGAGGACACTGAGTACATGGTTTTTCTAGGTTTTTCTTGCTACAAGTGATTCACTATATAGGAGCTTGGTTGCCTACAAAAAAAAACAATTTGCAATGGACCAATGGCAAGGCCGGACTGGAAGCTTTTCAAGGGGACCCATTTGAAAACCACACCATAAGGACAACACAAAGAAACAAAAACGCTGCCAGAACTTGTGGTTGAATGTTGAAGATACTCGAACAAACAGGCTGGAGCCCAAAATCAGGGATTGCTCTTATTGTGTCTGGTGCAGGTGCAGAAAAACACGTGTCAATTCTATATAGAAAGACGTCTTGGTTTTCAACCACCCACCAGGTGACCGCGACCGCTTGTGCCGTGCCCAGCGAAGATCCCGCTTCACTCAGCCAGGTGACCGCTGCGACCGCAACAACCAGCGTCCTTTTCCCTAGGGCTCCAGTCGTACCGAACCTAAGAAGGTGGGACTGGGGTGGGTGCCACGAGGGTCCAGTCATGCCTTCTAAAGCGGCCGGAGCGGGCTCCGCTCGCCTCAGACGTGGGCGGCGGCTCCGTCTCCAAGGTCCGTGTACTGGAGATTCCTTCGGGCACGGCGTGCGCGTGAGGTGAGCGCGTGGCACGAGGGTGTGGAGGTTCATAGGGCCGAAGGCATGCCTCGGGGATGATAGTGTGATGGTGAGTGTCCCCAGACACTCCATGTGCCATATATGCCTACATTGGGGTGGTTTTGGGGGTCAATGTAGGCATATATGGCATACATGGAGTGTTTGGGGTCTGTGTGTTGGGTGGGTTGAGAACTCCTGAAGACTTGAGCCCAGGATGGCGCCCGAGATGCGAAGGTCGACCGACCGGTGAAGCCAACCGGTGACCGGTGAAGCGACCGTTGAGTGGCCAAACACCTCCCCCCCCAAAAGGCTTCAGAGGCCAACCCCGACCGTCTCACCGAAAACCTGGTGGTTACGTGGATGGGAACACCCCCCCCTGTTCGTAAGGGAAAGTGGTCTTCCGTCCAGGACACCGGACGTGACTGCCACGGTGGCACACCATGTGTTCTGTGTTCGGACCCGAGTGTAGCCTAAGGTTCTCCACGGAATGGGGGATCGAGTCGCCCTGAGCAGGAGGAGATGGACTTCATGTCACCTCCATTTTGGTGGAAGATGGACTTCCACATCCCGAACATCACAAGTGGAGGGTGTCAGAAATCATTGGCTACAGCTTGGGTCAATTAGTGGAAAACTTCACTGATTCAGGGCCTCTTTTGGAGAGATGATGCTTCATAGGGGGCATGCATGTCAGTGTGTAGTGTAGCTAAAACACACGATCCTTGGTGAGAATTCATGACTTGGCTCCCTGAATCACTTCAAGCCGATCTTTAGTAAGGCTTGGACCACTTCTCTGACTTGGAGACCGTTTTTGTCTGCCACATCCAGAGGGTTCACCGAACAAACTCCACCTGTTCTCGTTGATCCTTCGTTTGGCATTGTCCAGCCATCATGTCCAGCCCATCATCAGTCCAAGCTGCTTGAAAAGCATAGGTCCAGTGTCTGGTAGACCACCACTGTGAGCAACACTGGCACAAGGCTTCGGCCAGCCACGCGGGCCATGCGGGCTGCTGTGCCAGCTGCCGCGCCACTTCGTGCACGCCCAGGCGAGACCGACATCATTGCAAAGCCCAAGAAATGCAAATGTTGTGACTCTTCGATTCACATGACTTCAAGACTTCGATCTGTGCTCAGGTATGCTGACCTACTATGCTTTCTTGAGGTTGACATTATGTAGCTTGAGGATGATGTCCCCTTGTTTGATTTGTTTGATTCATGAGCCCTATAGGTAGCAATGAGACAAGAATAACAATGAAGCTCTTGAACCGCGTCCCGACCATCGGTCGTAATAATTAGGTCCTCTTTCTGTAGGTAGAACTCAACAAGAAGAGCTACTGGTGGTGTTTCTATTCCGGACTAAACCTGTGGCTGGCTCGTTAAGATTTACCCTGGCCCAAAATCCGAGGCTTAAAGGTGACTGAATCCGAGGCAAAGGATTATGCAAAGAGGGATTGACCAAGTGGTAGGATCATCATACTATATCATACGAAAGGCCCTGTAGGTCCAGTCGGACGAAACAACTGCACAACTCCAGTAAACTCAGATCAGTTCCTGACCAGTAAGTCTTCCAGAAAGAGACTATCATATATATCACTATGATATACTGACCTCATTTTACTAAAGCTGTACAAAAACACATAATGAAAAGCCGGTTGTTTGGTCTCAAGTTTCACTGAGACTGGACTGCCACGTGTTAGTGACCACCTGACGTCGTTCGCACCTGACGTTTTTGTTCTGGAAAAAAAAAAAAGGCGAGCGAACTGAGAGAACTCACACTTGCCAAAGTGAAGGTGTACAACGAACTGGTGGATATCCTCTAAGACTCTAAGTGTAGACTCTTGATTAATGTAATAAAACCCGCACACCAACAAAGAAAAGAACAAACATGGATTGTAAAGCCTGCATGGGAGTTTTTTTTTTAGAATCAAGAGTCCACATTAGAAGCAAGTCTCATCTATCCAAGCTTGAAACTGACGGGCCTGGCCCTGTTGTTCTTGAGCTTATACCACCACGCCGATTGAAGTGCCCTGAAACTTCCAATTCCTTGTTGGGTACCAACCTCGCAAGAAAAACCTCGGAATTGTTTCGACTGCTGCAGTCATCCTTTAAAGCTCTAACAGGACTCTCCTTTAATGCACTACCACCTCCATACCTATGCACCAAATGTGAGCGGCTGCCAAAATACATCCCTTCCCACCTGCGTTTACGGATGCAACCCCACCCATCCAAAGATACTTAACGATAAAGACTTCGTCCAGACGATCAAGGTCACATGTCATCCCCGGTGTTCATAGGGGTCCAGGTGAAAAGGCCTCGGACTCGCTGGGTGGTTTTTCTACACACTCGTCTACGCGAATCCATTTCATCCAAACGCCAGGGCCCCAATGGCCACTCGCCAGGGGCCCCCGGCAACTGATGATCGGTGCGCAACCCGTCAGCTCCTTAGATGGGGTCCGGCTGAAGGGGCGGAAAGGGCGGTGAAAGGGCAAATGTTGACTAGATGGTTGCTGCATGTGAGACCCATGTGGGTGTGGCCAGAAATAACCTATATAGTTATTCTAGTTTGGGTACATGAAGAAACATGGGGAACAAATTAAACTGGGCTTTGAGCACAAGTGCTTCAGCCTGGGACCCTGGGAGTCTCTTTGCACCAATGCTCAGGTCAATGATATACTTTCCTCTCCTGCCATGGCTTCTGCGGCCACCAGCACCACCAGATCAGAAGCCTCCGGTTTTCACAAGCCTCCGGTTGAGGGGTTGTCCACGTCTTCTGACATCAATGGTCGGAAGCTCTGGAGTTTCCATGATCTCATTTGGGAGTCTTCAAAGCATTTCCAACCCACCTCATCGTCACGAAAACTAGCAGACATTGGATCCACCCAGGTCAGGTTGAAACATAAATAAAGTATTTCTACACTGGAGTAGTGACCTTGAGGAATGTCCCCGATCAAAACACGGTTCATGTGGAAAAAGAACCAGAAAACACCGACCATCGATTTTGAGAGCGGAAGGTTTAACATGGTTTCACAGAGCTGAAACTCCAGGTCTCTTCGATCAAACAGTTTGAGACTATGATAACTAAGAGTTCTCCCGCTCTCCCCCGCAAACCCCCACCCCTCTGGGTGGCCATCAGTGCTTCCACGGGGCCATCGGTGGCGCTTGACATCCTGTGTTGGGATGCCCGCCGCGACACGTGGCTCTTGGACTCCCAGCAAAGCCTCTCGGTCGGGCGGTGGGCGGTGCGTGTTAGGCGCTGCGGTGCTTTGGGGACAGCGAGGGGTTTTGGCGAAGTCTGCGCTGGCCCTGCGTTTGCTGTGCGATGTGCGGCGGACACGGCAAAACACATAAGATTACATTTGGATGAACATGAAGAAGCAAAGAATGATGATGATGATGATGATGATGATGATGATGACGACGGTGACTCTTAGCATTGCTTAGGACCCAACCTCTTCATCTCCACCAGAGCGACGGACAGACTCCCTTTATCTCTCCAACCAGACTGACACGCCATGGGATGCCATGTGATATAAACGATCAGTCTCTACTACACCCAGTGATGATCACTGATGCATATCTGCGAACATCAGCACATGGAGCAAGAACATCAACCTTTCACCGATGTTTCACACGGTCCCAGTCGCCATGTCGTTTCGGTGTTCACCACTTCACCGGTTCTGCCTGGAGCACACAGCTCCTGCAAGCCGCTGTAGATGTAGCCCATGGGTGGCGGCATCGGGCGCGCACAAAAGGGGATCTGACCACACGCGGCTCGGCACCGTGGAGACTTCCGGCTCGTTATGGCTCGGTCGAGCTGGGGCAAACGCGACGTGTTGAACCGGCTCCCTCAACTTGGTGCTTAAGCAACTCCCTCAACGTAAGAGCGAGTGCATCACATAAGCACTCGTGAGTGAATGCATGAATGCATGAAGAACATGTGTTGGCATCATGTATTTGTTCTGTATAAATGGCTCCAAGATGCTCCAAGAAAGCTTCCCCAAAGGTGTTTCGGGTGTTTTGATGTCGGAGCCTCTAGGGATTTGTTTGTCTGAGCCTCATGAGTCTCTTTAAATACTTCACAGAAACGTCTGCCTGAGGATGTCAATCTCTAACTTGTTGGGATGTCAATCTTGTCTCTATGGCCAGTCATTTTAGGGCCATGGCAGCATTGGGATGCTGAGAGGTACCAAGAGATCGGATCCTTTTTCCTTCTCTAGGACTCTAGGAGGTGCTCTGGTTTTCAGGGGTGAATACCAAGGGATGCTTGAGCTCATGTCCTTCCATCTTGCACTGCCCTAACTTACAGGGTCCTTCGACCAAGATGTCCATGACCAGTTCCAAATGCACCGCACCACAACGGCCGCATCTGCTGCATCTGTCAGAGACAAAGGATGGTCAGACCAACATGGGATTCCCTTTGCCGAAGGGTCCACCACATACCCACCTTCCCGCCGGTACCAAGCCCCCAACATGATGCTCCCGTCAAACCCACCCAACCAGCGGGGCGGGTCCGTGGTCCGCGACCAGCCTGGCATCTGGGTGCGGTCCAGTTCAACATCTCCAAAGGATCGGTGTTCTCCCCACGGCAGCTGCCCGTGGTCGCCATGCCCACGAAGGGCGGCCGGCAACGACTGCAGTGTCGCGTCGCGGCCGAGCGAAGGCGACGACGAGAGCGGGCACGCGGCGTTGCTTGACCCTTCAACAAGCGAAGCCACGGAAGAAGCCCCTCAGGTTGATGTGGAAAGATTCACCAAACCCTTTCACCTGTTCTTGTTTAGTGGAGAAACCAATCTCCTCAAGGTTTTTAAGATTGCGCACTGACTGGGTAGGTCTAAGATCTTCCAAAGGAAGGACCTTCACGTCGCTTCTAGTGACTGACGTGAAGAGGAATTCACAATCAACAAAGACACCTTTACCAAAACCCATCCACTCAACTCCCTGAAATAAGGTAGTAGATGGTAGTAGTAGTCCATGGTAGTCCATGGTAGTCCAGAAACATCCATGGTTTCCTGGAGTGCACCACCACCTGCTTGGTACACTGAGCCTGGATCTTCATGGGAACATCCGAGCTGAAACGGCCCGAGCCTTTCCCATCCCTTCCACGAAAGTGTGGTGCCTTGCGAAAGAAATCCCTTCGGGGCAACAACTGAAGAGTGCAGGACAGTCCGAGTTCTGAGTTCTGTCTCGGAGGTGTCTCGGAGGTGGGAAGACAAGACGGAAGCTTTGATCATCTGGCCACTTCTCAGCTGGGCTTCCTCGGAATATGGCTGTACGATTCGTGACACGACTTGCTGTAAACGGCGTAACTAGATTACAATCTTACCATCATGTCGGACCTTCGACCCCTGCAAATTGCAGATGTGTTAACAACTTAGAAAAGAACATCTGTAAAATTCCTATCAGAAACTTTCGGGGGAAAACAAAAGTTGATCAAATCCAAACTCCTCCTCTTGCTTTTTCTTGGAAGCGTCCCCTTCTTCCTTCCATCTTTCCAAGGCACATGGTGCATTCCTCACCCGCCCAGATGTCCCGGCACTCCGTGAGATCCAGCTCGCATTCCTCGCTTTTGCCGGAACCGAGCCGTTCCAGTCCCGGAAGGTTCCAGTCGACTCGAAGGATCAGAAGCAAGGTCGATCCAACCGAGCTCTTTAGGGGTAAGGTGATTTGGATCCAGCCGGTTTTTTTCAAAGCAAACTTAAAGACCTGGCTACACAAACTTCTTGAGGTGGTGATATGCATTGTGTGTCTTTTGGATAGGGAGACCTGGCCCAATAGGTCTTGGTCTATGTTCATTCTTCTAGGTGGTCTTTGGAGTCTTTGGGAGGTCTCGCTATTTCAATACATGGTCATGTGACTTTGGAACCACTGGAAGCTGCACCTGATAAGGATTCAAATAAAGAAGAAGTACCACTGTTCAGGTGCCCAATTTACGTGAACAGTTGGTCTTCTTTTTGGCGTTTTCAGACTGTAAACCTGTCAACAGAGTCCGAGCAGCGTCCACCACCGGCAGTTGGCAGCCCACGATAGGGCGACAACCCTCCAGGTGCAAATGCAACTCACAGCAGTCCTGAGTGACGAGTGAAGCAACGAATTACAACTCCCAAACATATACTCTATATAGCATATGTGTGTGCACTTTTGTATATTATGTAATGCAATTATATGCACATACATGCACCTACATTGGGGTGGTTGAACAGGTGTGTATTCCAGTCCCATGGAGTGTCAACCCTGGCTTGTAGAGAAGACTAGACTAGTCTTCCAAAGGGGCGCTGTTGCATTTGCTGTGTTTTCTGAGAGCCAAGCTGAAGTTCAAACCACGGAGAAGTGGAAAGAAACCTCCGTCTCACCACGACGTCCAGTGACCTCCCTCTCACCGGACATGGCCCCATGTGGCTCTCTTTTTCTGCTGGGAGTTCAGGAAGGGGCGGGTTTGGGTTTGAACTGGGGGGGTGTCCCCCCACTCACACTTGTTAGACTGTTAGACCGTCCTTGAAGTCCTGGGTCCCAACTTCTGGGGTCCAAAAGCAGAAAAACTTGACCTACAACTTTGAAGTTTCCTTCCAAAAGCAACAAACTTCAACCTTGTTGTTTGTCTCAGATGGGTCCAAACCTGCTCATGGTCATCGACAAAAAATGACCTGGTGAACACCCAAACATACAATCAACCTGGAGTCAAAGAAGTAGGTTCCGGCCATATCCATCTTGATAGGGTCATGTCCCATTTTCTAGAGTACTTGAAGTCAGGTAAGTCAGGTCCAGGTACTTCTGGTGTTTTGCTTTGGTGAATTGTGCTTCCACGCTCGGTCGAACGTGACAACCCGTCCCGTCGGAGCCCAGGAGCATGGTCGGAGACGCAAGACTGATGGGCCTCTCCAGCATAACCACGAGCACAGCTCCATCCACGCTCGGCTGTCTTCTGGTAGCCTGCGCACGATCTCGAGATCAGTCATAGGTCTGGAGGTTGGAGGCAGGTTGGAGGTCGAGGTCGAGGTGCGAAAATTCTACCCCAAGCGAGGTCAGGTTCACCAACAACCCTGCCCAAAACCTTCAATTTCGCACTCAAGGTCTCACAAGTGAGCAAGTGCGAAAACCCAATCAGTGAACTGAAGAGGACTACTGCCCCTATCCCCTGTGCTGAAAACCTCTACATCGTCCACTGGTGTCTGGGCATCGTCAATTTCCCATCAGCAGTTCCATGTCGGAATGGTTCTTAGACCCATCCAGTGAGCCAGCGGGGACCTAATCGAACCTGCGTACCTAAGCTGGGCAGAAGGGCAGAAGAACAATTCCAGGGGTGAACGCTTCACCGAACGGTTCACCGAACTCCACCTGTTCTTCTTGATTGACTGTGTCCCCAAATGCATCCCAAAAGTTGGATTCTTCTCCACAGACTTCCCTGCCGGGCTCAGATACATTGGACACCCCAAGCAAGCCCACTGAACCCTAGTACAACTGAACCCCAGTCCCCCTCACACATGCCAGAAAACCGTCTTGTCACCACTTAGAGATGACCAAGGTCCAAGGTCCGATGCTCGAAGTCAAATGAGGGATCTCTCCCAGTTCGGCTTGGGCTCGTTTAGACCCGGACTGAAAAACCTGTGGCAGCGGGTCGGAGTTGCTTCGGGTCGGTCGCCTCTGGGCGAAATCACCTCCCGCTGCGCCCGATGCATCAAGAAAGACTCAAAATTGTCTGCGGAATCTCCCCTTGGGCAGGTTCAACTCCCACTCCGCCCCCCAAACCTGCCGGCGAGTGAACGACCACGCGCGGATCATCTGAACGACGTTCCGCGCGTTCCACGTGGGGTTCTCCCACCGCAGAACGTTCCTCGCGCCTGGTGGAACCACTTCTGGACAACTGGGCTTCACACAGCGTGGCGCCAGGAAGTCTGGCCCCTTCGAGGCACTGGGGTTGTCCTCGTGGCGGCAGGAGCCGACGCGGTGGTTCGCTTCGGACGTGGGACCCACGAACTGCTTCGCCGAGGAAGTGGGACGAGGAGTCGGAACGAAGCTGAGGTGGTGGCAAATCCCTACAAAAAGACTCCATGCTCCATGTGATCTGTGGTGAGATCCCAAACGGGTTGACCCAGCTGAACTGTTGCGTCTAAATACGTCGAACTGGTGAGCTGGATCGTTGTGTCGCCCATCTCGCGAAAGGTCGCCACCGATCTGGATCGTCAGCAATTGTACATAGCTACCCTAGTGGATCCCAGTTCTACCACTAGATAAGGAACCAGCGGGCACTCGTTGTTCTGCCTGCATCCACTGGTCTATGTTGTACAGTTGTACTCCCTAAAGCTGACTGGGTCGAAACAAATGGAGTCCATGCCATGAAGATCCAGTAGTGTAGAGGCTTCCAGGTGACCCCGACAGGAAGGTGCTGGTACATGCTGGTACATCTTTTTCAGTTCGTGGGACATCTTGGAACTGGGCCTTCTTTCCCATGCAATTTTTAGCTTTAAGTTCATGCTTTAGCAGAAGAAGGAAGGTGGCAGCTGATGTTTGTCGCCTCCCCCAGGGGTCGACAAAGAGATTAGTTCTCGGAAAGAACAAACAACTTCTGCTGCAAGAGGTCAATCAAAACTACCTGGATCTAACTGGATTACTTTGAAAACCATCTGGTTGGCCACTGACAGCTGCCTTTTGCTTGGTCGCTTTTTTTCCTTCCTCCTGCAAATGATGCCAACAATCCATGCTTACTAATTGGATCCCTCAATAAGAAGAACGACTATATAATGCAGGCTCTTGATGAATACAACCACCCAAAACAAGGATTGTAAAACTCTTCAAAAGCACTGCTTATGGGCGGTATATTCATCAAGAGTCCTGCTAGGTCACCCAGACCGCCAGGCCACGGCGAACCTACCGCCAGCCCTCCCGCAGCTCTAACTATTTCGATGAACGGAACTGGCACAACAAAAACACGAATCTTTCCCGCCAAGGGGATTTACCCATAGACCATAGAGAACATCAATACAAATCACAAAAAAGAACCGGAAAAAACAGGACAAGTCTGTCACTGTGCCGTGGTTTTCTGGGGCCCGAGTGGCGTAGGGGCAGACTGCGATGGTCCGCTCGCCCAGAAAGGGCTCCAGGCAGGTCAAGTTGCAGGCCTGGCACTTTTTCGGTGAGCCCCGTGTTGGCCGGAGCGCTGGAGACCAATCATAATCATTTACCACAGAAATCAAATGATTTAACGAACACAGAATTGCAATCGTATAGCAATCGTATAGCCTTGGGAATTGCATCTTTCTGGTCTAAATTTTGCCCTCGGGTGGCTCATAAAGGGTGTGCTACGTTGGAATTGCAGCTTCCTCCTCAAAATTGGGTGGCTGAATTAATAGACCAAAATAGACCAAGCTAGGGGTCTCCCTATTAAAGTACACGGCCAAATGTCCAAAACACATTATGCTTTTGGCAGGTCTTTTTTCAGGGACGTGCCGGTTGTTGAATCCGGCATTGGTAGAGACATGTAAAGAACATCCGGCTAAGTTGTACATGGGTTGAGTTCTCTTGGCCATGATTCCAGGAAACTAGGAACTCCAAGCTCATCTCCCAACCTCCTGAAGCACTTCCGACCGAAAGCACGCCAAAACCTAAACCAAGCAGACCCCCAGGTATTTTTGGATGGTTCTGGCGCTCAACAGAGGGGCGCTGTGGATCCCTACCCCTAGGGGTTCTCATGAGTTCTCTACATTTGGCGACAACGTAGTGTCAACAGCAATAGGGTCACTGTCAAACCGACATGGAAAAAACCACACGCCACCGCCTATCCCAAATTCTCATCTCCTGGAAAAAAGAATCAAACACGCCGGCCATCGCCAGCCCACCTGATCTTCACCCCTTTCTATCTCCACTAATAATTGTAACAGAAGGTGTATTGATTCGACCGGTAGGACCGCGAAACATCGGCAGTGGTACCCGCTTCTTTCAATGTACAGACCCCCAAATAGACAGAAGTTCGTAGATCCCCACTAAAAATGTATTGGAAACTGTGCCACTATCTATTTAAGGGACCACTATAGGGTCAACCTTCCATTGTTCTCAGGTACGCCTTTGGCTTCAGGTCCCCGATGCTGACCATACCTTGGCTGTCCGGTCCTTTCCTAAGGGTTTAACAAAACTGTGGTTTAGGAAGAACTCGATCCCTTCTGAACTTCTAACCGATTCTAAACCAAAAGGATTCACTTCGGTGTCCTTTTTGTTTCGCCTTTGAAGGGAAACCCTCTTGCCACCCTCCCCCAACCTCCCTCCCAAGTCGGCCTCCGCTGGTGGCTTCAGTCCTGCGTGATCCCCCCCCCCTCTTCCGCGCGCGCGTCCGTCTGGGTTCAGATGCCTCGGTGGGCTCCAGGGACGAACACTCAGAGGCATCGATGTGTTGACACCGATCCAATAAGGGCGCCGCGCAGGGCTGCGGAGCATTGCCTGCGCAGCGCTAGGGACTAACGTGTGCGAACGCGGCAGGTGGGGCGCATGGAGGCAGGGAGGATCCTCCATGTGGGGCGTATGGAGGCAGGAGTTCTGATATATGTTTTTGTATGATATGGTGGCGATGTTACTGTTCCAGGAAAAACAACCTCAAACATCCTAAAAGCCTCTTCTCCAGAGTCGGGGATTCACTCGGCTTTCTGGAGCAGAAAAAACATCACCCTGGACCGCAAAACATGCGGTGTTTGGGGGTCCAAAAGAGGGGGACCACCTGGTTGAACCCGTCACCAATCGACAAGAATCGACTGTCTACTCAGGAGGTCAGGCAGGTCAGGCAGCAGCCCACCTGGTCGTTTTGAACACCAGCCACAGTGTCAAAGACCTGTGAAACCAACTTAAAAGGTTAAAATACATTAAATACAAAGTATTGTAAATTTAAGGTATTAAAGCTAGGGGTATTTCAATGTGGTATGATAGTACAGGATATTGATATTTCAATATGGTAGTTCTGAATGCTCTCCTTGCGATTCAAGGGTATCCTCTCAGTCAGTTAAAATACTGAGTCAAAGGATGTCAAAGGTGGGAATGGCGACCAGGGAATGCAATATCCCTTCAGATAGCCTTACGGACCAGGGTGTTTGCCAGAAACACCCAGGAGTAGCGATTGCAACCGCTTGGAACCATCACCTTCGCCGCCTGAGATCCATTATTAAGCAAATGCATGCAAATGCCTTTGGTTTTCGCTCTTATTGGGTCAAACTCATGTGTTCCACTGACTGGAATCAACTCACACTTCCGGCGTTTTTGCTGGCTTGGGCTTCATCCACCTGGTCAGCTGACCGGTCCAGTCCGGTCCAGCTCGGTGCGTCGAGGCACAACCTTTGAGCTCCGGCCGTGCGGTGCAGTCGTCTTCCAGGTGGCACTCGAAGACCGCCAGGCCGTGGTAACCATTGGAACCTCGGTATACGGGGTCTACGGCAGGCAGCGAGTGGTGTCTGGGAGACCTCTGGGAGCAAGAGAGGTTGAACAGCCCTTTTTCGCCGGTCTCTCAACCTCTGGATGTTGGTGTATGTCTTTATATGTCACCGTCGTGAAGCAGTTGAGAGGTTGAACAGCCTTTTTGTGGTTCTCATCCCACCACAGAGTGCCACAGAGCACAATCCTGAGACCGTTCAGGTGTCAAAACACCGGTCCCGGTCCGGAGGTTTTTCGGTCCGGACAAGCAAGCCGGTCCGGACACCTTAGTTGAACAGGTCCGAAGGTTTAATTATTCTCAGCCAACACCTATGGGAGCATGGAATACCTTTGGAACCATTGAATACCCTCCAAACCGATGCACCGCCCGAACTCTGGTGCATGAACCACCGCCTTCATCCGCACACCAGGCAACACGCCCAAGCTCCTTCCGTCCAAGTGTAGCCCAGCGGAACGGTCTCCGGCCAAGGACAAACCAAGCCTCAGCCCATCGCGTCTGTCGCGGCGAGGGGATGAGGTGGACAGCTCTATGATGATCTGCCCAAGAGAGGTTGAACAGCCCTATGGCCCATCCAAGCCCATCCCATATATACCACTGTAAATGCATATGACCGCCACCGGCAGCGGAACCTCATCTCAAGGCGCGGATGAAAAGGGCCCGCATAGAGTCGCCCCTGGTGGGGCTCCGGCTTTCGCATTGGTAGCGGAGCCCCACCAGGGGGGGCTCGAGCCATGGATGATAAGTCGGTCAAGCGTTTCAACGGAGAAGACGAAGATGCCGGGAAGGCACTTCGGAAGTGGAAAACATGGGCACAGGCTAAACTGCTGACGATCAAAGATCTGAAGACACAACAGAGAGGCCCGTGGCTGCTGACTTTGTTAGATGGAAAGGCATGGGATGCCTGTGAACATCTGACTCTCGAAGAGTTGGCTACAGCAGAAGGTGAAGCAAAGCTCTGGGACACACTGGAGCGTCGTTTCCCCGAGAAGGAGAAACATGACATGATGGGTGAGGCTTTGGGCGAAGTTTTTGGGCTGGCTGCAAGCGAGTCGGAGACTATGAAGCAGTGGACTGCTCGGGTGAGAGAGGTCTTTGACCGTTGTGAGCGAAGAGCCAGCGTGAAGTTTCCGCCTGAAGCGGAAGGCTGGATTGCTTTGAATTGTGCTGGACTTAGTGAAGAACAAAAAGCAATAGTGAAAGCAAAAGCACAGGGCAATTTATCCTTCGAGGTGTTGTCGGCCGCACTCCGTTCATGCTTTCCCGTGTGGAAGGCCTCCGCAAGCAAGCGGAAACCAGTTGGTGCCTTTCAGGTGGACCAGATTCCGGAGGTTCCACCAGGCGCTGAAGACGACGATGACAGTTACAGTGATCCATACATGCAGGGTGTTCAAGCGTTTTTGGCAGAACATCAACAAGATGCCGAAATAGACGAACAGGTCTATTCTGAAGGGGAAGCTGCCGAAGCGTTAGCAGTCTCTTGGAAAGAACGCCGCAAGGAGATCACCAAGGTCCAACGCAGTCGTCAGTTTGGACAGTCCTACGGCGGCACTGGTCGTCGACAATTCAAGGTGGAAGTTGAAGAGTTGAAACGCCGCACCAAGTGCAACCGGTGCGGGAAAATAGGCCACTGGGCCAGGGAGTGCAGACAACAGCCAAACAAGACCACTGACAACTCTGGTTCAACGAGCTCTCAGCAGGCCACATCGGCAAACTATGTGGAAGACACAAGTGCCCATGATGCTGCTGAGGCCCTCATGGTTTCTGGAGATGATTTGACTCCGGCGTTTGTTGGACATGTGCAGGAAGTGTTCAGTACAGGGTTGGTATCATCCCCAGGTTTTGGGGTTGTAGACAGTGGTTGTGGCAAGACTTTGATTGGTCGGCAAACATTATCCATTCTGGAAAAGATGATTCAGCAACACGGCCATACAGTGCAATATTTTCCAAAGGTGTGTACATTTCGGTTTGGGAACGGAGCCACAGAGACTTCACAAGTCTCATGTCGACTGCCAGTGGGTATAGCTCAACAATACGGCTTGATCGATGCCGCAGTCATCGCCGGCAGTGCACCGCTGTTGTTGGGACGTCCTACCCTAGAAAAGATGGCTGTCAAACTAGATTTCAGTAACAACAAGATGGAGCTCCTTCACAGCCAGGCTCAGATGCACACCAATGAGTCCGGTCAGCTGTTGATTGATGTGCTTGCTTTTCCAAGAAGGAAGTCGGAGAGTTCCTGGACGCCGCTCGCTGCAGATGAACGCCCGTCTAGAATCTCAGAGGCTCGACCGACAAAAGTCAAAACAAAGATCACGTTGAAAAAGAAAGAATGCCGTTGTTTGTTAGCCCAAGTCAAGAAGATGGAAAACCAACAGGGTTCGAAGTGTTTAGTTGCGGAACTGTTTTCACCACCACGTTTTTCGAAAGAAGCCGAAAACATGGGTTATCATGGTCTTTCATACGATATCAAGCAGGGCTGGAATTTGTCCAAACCCGAAATACAAAAGCAGGTAGATGAAGAACTAGAGAATGCTCGACCACGCCTGTTGGTCGTTTGTCCACCATGCACTCACCGAGGTGGGTGGGAGCATTTGAACCGCCACCGCAGATCAGCCCTTGAGACTGCTCGACTGATCAGGGAATCCAGAATGCACGTTCGATTCGCTGCCGAACAGATTCGCAAGCAGCTGGATCGAGGTGGTGACTTCTTGTTCGAACATCCTTGGGGGGCTAACACATGGGATGACAATGCACTCACTCCGCTTCGTCGTAAATATGGTGTTCGTAGAGTAGACATGTGTGCATATGGTCTCAAGTGTCCTGATACAAACATTCCTATTCGGAAGGCTACAGGTCTCATGACATCGGCGAAACCAGAACATATGCATCTGTTCAAGCAGTGTCCAGGCTGTCTCAAACACAGACACGTGGAAGGTAAATTGCACTCAGGTGAACGTGTAAGCACTTATGTGGCCGAGTACACCTCGCAATTTGTACAATGCATGATGCAATGGTGTCTCAACAATCATGGCAAAGTCTGGAAAGAGAACATAGACCTAGCTGCTTGCGGAGATACAGAATGCCTCGTCGGAGAGGCAAATCCGGCGGCCGTTGAATCAGTTCATGAGCCAGAGGATCAGGAGGGATCCAATGCCAAACTGCTAACGGCGTTGCGTCGTTTGCATGTCAATTTAGGGCACCCGTCCAACCATGACTTAGTTCGCATCCTCCAACATAGCAAGGCTAAAGAGGAAGTGGTAGTCATGGCCCGGTCCTTTGAATGCAGCATCTGTAGGAATCATCAACAACCCCAGGCATCTCTTCCTGCCAAGGCCAGTCGATGTATGGAATTCAACTCACGAGTAGGCATGGACGTTAAGTATTTGCCCGGCTGGCGGCCGAACCAGCGTGTGCCGTGTGTGAGCATAATTGATTATGGCTCTTCTCTGCACGTGATGACTCCAATCTTCCAACGTGAGACTGCCGAACTGCTGAAGGGCGTCCTGCGTGACTCATGGCTTCTTTGGGCAGGTGCGCCAGAGGTCTTGGAACTAGACCCAAGTAGACCCAACTTGAGTGACGCCCTAGGAGAGTATTGTGAAGGACACGGCATCAATCTCATGCACACAGCGGCAGATTCACACTGGCAACTGGGGAAAGTAGAGCGCCACGGCCAGTGGTTTGAGAAAATCCTGAGCAAGGTTCACGAGGAGAATCCTCCCACTTCTCCTGAGGAGTTCGTGGAGAACGTTATGCAAACGCAAATCGCCAAGAACTCTCTGATCACTGTAGCAGGTGCTAGTCCATATCAAATCGTGTTCGGAAAGAACCCCAGGATTCCTCAAGATCTGATGCAAGATAAAGTGCATCTGCCAGCGGTAGATGCCAGCGTGTTTGAGACCGCCTTTCAAAGGTCTCAATGCGTCCGTCAGTCAGCACGATTGGCAGTCCTCCAATGTCAAGACAGCAAAGCCTTCAAGGCCGCCATTCGAGCAAGACCACGGGTTCGACAGACTTTTGTCTCTGGTGACTGGGTTTTCTATTGGCGGAGTCAGAAATGGCAAGAGGGTTCACTAATTCGAGGAGGTAAATGGCATGGGGCGGGAATGATTTTGGGGAAACTAGGACAGAACTACATCGTAGCCCACAGAAGAAGCATTTTCCGCTGTTCCCCAGAACAATTAAGACACACTACCACGGAAGAGAAAACGATGGCTGATTTCGATGCAAACGAGCTACTTGGGATCAAAAACCTCTTAGAACGGGGACAATTTCCGGAGGGTCAGTTCATTGATTTGGTAAACAGTGATAATCCGCCCGAACCGGAGATCCTCGATCGTGCTGACCTGTTGCAAGTGGCTGGAAAGACAGCAGCGCAGATGTGGCAAGAAGGACAAGCCGAGTCAGAAGACACACCAATGCCCGAGGCAAAGGCAGATGTGTCAGGTCCCGAAGTTCCTGAGGAACCTCGAATCCCTCGAACAGAGGATTATGGTCCTATCCGACGCATCCGACACACCCAGAAGTCTCCTCCCGAGTACTTAATGCGTCCCCCAGCCATGCAAATGGATGACATTAATGAGGTGTTCACTGAGCTTGTGCCAATGCTAGAGACACATTTCCCAGCAGCAGATCAACCTTTCAGTAGCCCTAGAGGAACAAGCAGCAAACGTGAGGCGAGTCAGGACATTGAAGATAGTAGACACACACGATCTCGTCTCTCGGAGGAAGATGAAGTTCTCTTATCGTCCATTGCTTCAGTTGACTGTCTGATCGCCGGGTTTCTTCAAAAACGAGCTCAAAAAGAGATCCCAGTCCACGGTAATGAGCCAGAATTGCAAGCCAAAGTCGATGCCTCGAAGACATTGGAGTGGGAAACTTTGTCCGGCAAGCAAGCAATTCGTGTGTGGAAAGGAGCTAAAGCTCGAGAAATTCGAAATAAGCATCCTGACAGATTCATCGGGAGCCGTTTCGTAGTAATCAATAAGAAGGATGAGGACGGTGAACGAATCAAATCCAGGTGGTGCCTTCAGGGACATTTGGATCCTGATTTTCAAGAGAAGATCCGGTCAGGGGCCTGTCATAGTCCCACACTCCATCCTCTCTCCCGATCACTGGTTCTTCAGATACTCGTCAGCCGTCGATGGACGATGCAACTAGGAGATATAAAGGGTGCTTTTCTAGAAGCTGGTCCACTCAATCCTAAGTTCGCTCCCCTGTATGCTCACCAGCCCAAAGGTGGTGTTCCAGGTCTTGACCCCGAAGATGTGATTGAGGTAACAGGAAATGTGTATGGGTCAAATGATGCTCCTTTCAACTGGTGGTTCAAATTCGATGAGACAGCACGCTCGCTAGGCTGGATTCGATCACAATTCGACAACTGCCTGTATTATCTTCCAGACAAGTCAGGAAACACCGATTCAGCAAACATGTGTGGGGTGCTTGGAGCTCATGTCGATGACACCATCACAGGAGGTGAGGGTCCAGTGTATGAGCAAGCCATTGCTAGATTGAAACAAGCCTTTCCGTATCGTAAATGGCGAGTAGGTAACGGGGAATTCTGTGGAGTAGTGTACACTCAGGATCAACAGAGCTTCGAGATCACCTATCAACAGTCAGAATACGCTAAACACATACGACCAATCTCAGTGTCAAAAGAACGACTGAAAGATAAGGAAGCAAAGGCCACAGAACGTGAAGTGTCAGCCTTGAGAGCAATCAATGGAGCAGCAAATTGGCTGAGTTCACAAACACGGCCAGACCTGTGTGTGCAGACATCGTTCTCGCAGCAGTGTTTTCCAGAGCCTAGGGTGAGGGACTTGTTGTTCGCAAATCAGCTAGTACATCGAGCTAAGCAATTTAGTGGAACAGAGATCACAGTCAAGCACATTCCATGGGACAGTCTAGCGATATGCTATCACTCTGATGCAGGGTTTGGTAATGCTAAGCACCATAAGACTCAAGCAGGATATATAGCCGCCTTTGTAGATGAACGACTAGTAGATAATGAATCATCACCCTGGTCACCTTTCTCCTGGCGTTCCTACAAGTTGCCTCGAGTGGTAGCGTCCACTCTCGCGGGTGAAGCTCAAAGCTTTACAACCGCCAGTGCGACAGCGGAATGGATGAGTCTTTTGCTGGCTGAAGCCAAACAAGGTCACTTTGACCTCCGGACGTCAGAACAGGTCCAACAACAACCACGAATCCCCGGCGTGAAATGCCGAGATGAGATCCAGCTTGCAAAAGTGGTTGGTATCACAGACTGTAAAAGCCTGTACGACCACATGGCATCCATGTCGTCCGTTTCAAAGTGTGAAGACAAACGCATAGCAATAGACCTAGCAATCCTCAAACAATGCATGAGCCGTACTGGTCTTTTTGTTCGTTGGTGTCCGACTGAACTCATGCTGGCCGACGGGCTAACAAAGGATGCCCAAGATCCCGCAGATCTGCTCAGGGCAGCTCTGAACATAGGCGAGTACCAGCTGAATCCCGAGGCCGTGGTGTTGGAAAAGAAGAAACAGCAAAAGCAGGAACGACTGATTCGTCGCATGCAACATGAAGCAAGAGAAAAGGAAGCACGCCTTCAGAAACATGAGAAGTTCCGATATGACAAACCAAAGAAAAAAGACAAATGAAAACCTAAAAAGCACGAATTCGTTTTGTAGCTATACAGCATGCATGCAGGGGCCAGACGTGACAATCCTTGTATCACGTTTTGCATGGGGAGAGTTATGCTTTCTGTTTTTCGAGTGGTGCATAACCAAGATGGGGATGCAGTCTGTCGTGAGACTGTAAATGTGATTTTGCGCAGGCAAGCATGAACAGATCGTGTTTTCCTGGCTTCACACTGGGGGTTCAAACACAGTGAGATCACTGTGCAGACGGCGTCAAGGAAGTGCTGTCGTGAATCTTTTGCGCGCACCATTTTTGTTTGTGTGAGAGCATTTTTCTATATCTCCGACTGCTGAGCCATGGCTGGATATTACCGAGGCCTGAGCAAGGACGATGTCAAGGCCATGCTGCGTGATTTGAATGAAAGTGGAGAGCTAGAGCATCTTCTACATGATGTTTCGACCTCAGCTCCGACCAGTTCTATGACCCAAGGAGCCATGACCGATGGAGCAAAGAGACGCCTCATTGATCCCTCAGAAGAGCTGGACAAATATGAGGTTCTCAGTTTGCGCCAAGAAGTGCTCAAACCTAATGTCAAGTCAGCAGGACATTCATCCTTGTCGATCGAACGCGCCGAGCCAGAGACCAAACAAGGAGAAGACATTCCCCTACCAGAGGGAATTCGTTCTCTACACCAATGGGGAACGACAGTGTGTGAGTTACCCAAGTTTGCCAAAAGAGACTTAACCTACTCATCAATGCTTGTTGAAGCAAAGACATCCAAAGAAATGGCCAATTATCTTGGATGGGTGCTGACGGCGGGTACCAAGTCCCCAAAGCTGGATGATCTCAGGGCCTTTCTCAAGGCCAGTGGCTTCGATCCCAAGAGTCTCGATGGTGAAACCATCAAGTATCCATGCAGCTCCTTTTCACGTCGTTTGAAAGACTGAAAAGTAAAGAGGTAGAGAGGAGTGTAAATGCATATGACCGCCACCGGCAGCGGAACCTCATCTCAAGGCGCGGATGAAAAGGGCCCGCATAGAGTCGCCCCTGGTGGGGCTCCGGCTTTCGCACCACTACAGGGTCCTATATGGTCTCTCAACCTCTCTTGGTGATGACAGCTCGCTTGGACCATCAGGGGATCAGGGGAAGGTTAAACCCCCCACCGACACCATCCCCCTCGCCGGTGCGGCACGGTGTCCCCATGCCGCGCAGCAGTTGAAGTCAGGTCAGGTCATGGGTCAGGGACTGTCGAGGAATCTGAGTTGAAGTCACCAGTGGTTTCAGGGGTTCGATGGCACAAGTGATCCCAAGTTTAGGTTGCTTAGATTTTATAAGGGACTTCCATGTTTGAAAACATCTTTGGGTGCCATTCGGAGACTGAGTTTTGCACCACTATTGGAAACCATTGGCCAAGAACCTGATATTCCGGATGACCATCGATCGGCTTGGGGCGGCGGCGGGGGATGTGGTGTCAGAGGGAGATCCCCCGGCCCTCTTAGGGTTGACTGGCAGGTCTATTGTCCTTCTTCCGGAGGGTACTTGGGAGGGTCTCCCAGTTTGAATACACAGCCATGAACACAAAACACCAAGCAATAGAGCCTGTCTTCCATGTAGTTCCAGTATGATCATCCCAGGTGGCTTCTAGAACATCTAAGAACCGCCCGCCACACCAAAAATTTGAAGATAGGGCAAACCTATTTGGAATAGCACCCCGGGTCACAGCGAAAAGAACACATCGACTGAAAGAAAAACTGAAATCCTTCCCACTCACTCCCTGGCACAGGCCTTTTTGTCTATATATGGCCCAGGCTGCTTGAAGATGGAATTGAGCTGAACCTACCTCCCAATGTCTGGTTAGACATGTATGATGTATACCTCCCAATGTCTGGTCAGATCCCCAAAATCCGCACCTCTCTGCTAACATCTGCTCACCACACCAAGGCACGACAGTCGGGTCGCGTGACGTTGAACTCAAGCTGCGGGTCCGTGTTGTCGGCTGGACACGTTCCTCGTAGGACGGGGTTGGCGGGGGTTCTAGAGTGACAGCTTCAGCCTGTACGGATTTTACACCGGGAAGGGCAGGATCTGGCGACTTGAGCTCTTCGGGCAAGTGGAGCCAAATCCTTAAATGTCATGAGTCATTACTCTCACTTTTGCTGGGACTCCTGGCCTGCCTCCGTTTCACTGGTTGGGGTGGGTGCCAGGAAAGGGTCTGTGCCGAACCTGAGGATATGGGGCGTTCGGAGCTCCCACTCAGTTGAGGATCGGCTCCCACTCACGTATTCAAACATCTTCCAACCATTTGGATCAAAAACATGTAAAAACATAGGAATATAGTAAATTCATTGTAAACTCCATGTTGGTCAGTGATGTAAAAACATAGGTACCAATATAGTAAATTCATTAACTATATGTTGCTCAGTGACGGGATGGGTGCCGTGGTACCGGACTCCCCCAACTTCTTTAACCGGTTTCTCCCTCCGGATGATTTGAGGGGGAGAAGTGTGGGTTTTTGAGACGTGTCGAGACCAGTCTTAGTTGGAGAACAAAACACCAAAGCCTTCCGCGATCAGATGTTCTGAGATTCCATAGGTCGGCTCACCCTGGAAAGGTGCTTGGCATTCCACGGTGCCTCGGCATGGGTGTACGCGTGTACGCGTGTACGTTTCTAAGATGGCAGCTGGATGAGGTATGAGGCTTGGGGCAGGTCACTCTCTAGGTCTTTGGGTTGGTTTTGAAGGGTCTATGAGTCTATCCTGAGATTCTCTTCAAGTCAACAATCCCCGCGCCGAACAACCACAAATTCCGCACTTTCAGAACGCTCCGCCTCGACCCCCACCATACCTTCTGGACCCCCAACAAAGAAACCCGCGGCGGCAGCGGTGACGTCCGTGAGACGTCAGCTGCTCGGGAGCCAACGGCGCCGGCGACCGACCGAGGTACAAGTCTCGCCCGGCGCCAGGCTGCTGCAATTGGAGAGATCCTGGGGATCGGATCCGGATCGCGAAGGATGGGTCCGCAGACCCTACAGAGGTAGCCAGTGACCTGAACTAGGACCCGTCACCAGGGGTACCTATAGGATAGTCGAACAGTCGAACGTTCGGGTTCTTCAACCTCTGACTCTGCTGGACTAGGAGCGAATCTGAGAAGCTCTGAGAATCTCTGAGAATTCGTGAAGATTTCGACATTGGTTTCATCCCCATGGTTCCGTGCCCTCAAACCAATAGGCTTTGGTGAAGGGCAGGGACCGCGTTTCGAAGGTGCGACCCGGAGGGGCCCGGACTCGGATTCTGGTGGATGTCTGTTTTACTCTGCAAGATGGAGAAGACCACAGATATGTACCCAGACGCGACCCATTCGGCCCGAATCCTCTGGAGGGGTCGGACCCGAATCCTCTGGAGAGGTCTGGGGTCTCAAATCCCTAGGTTTTGAGGGACCAAGGGCTGTGAACGGAGCGTCTGGGTAGTACCAAATTTTGAGTTAGATGATTTTGGGGGGGATGATCCGTGGTCGGCCCCCTTTCTCCGGTACATGATAGAATGCATTCTCATAGGGAAGCTGACCCAACACATAGATCTTGTCCAATCCTGCTTGATGCTGCTTGGGTGGTTTGCAGTGGTGCAGGCCCCGGCCCCAGGTTTCCCTTCAACAAGCCACTGATACTCTCTGCAGTGAAGAGTGTGTTCTCACAGGGAGTGAGACAAACACCTAGCCTACTAGCGATCTGAATGGTTGGTACCAGGAGCAAGGCCCAAACCATGCGAATTGTTTGCGTTGTGTTTTCTCTAAGAAAAAAGACACGGCCAAGTCTTGGAACAGGCTTCAAACAAAGGCGGTTTCGCCGGTTCGGAAGGTGCCCCAACAAATCAAACCAACCGTGCTGAATCTTTGTCTTCGAAGGAGGACACCCTGTACACTCCCTGTACACTCCCTATCATGGTTACGTGATGTTACGCGGATGGGAAAAACGATACCGTGTCAGGATGATGCTTGAAATCCTATAAATGAACTGGTGGTTGTCCACTTCCATTATGATTTCAGGGAGTGCACATGTCCATGAATTGGTTTAAGGGAGAAACATGGAACATCTTTAGAAGAAACCCTCGTTTTCACACCAAAAAAATCCGACAACTATGGCATAAACAGATGTTACCATGTCAATGTCCATGAATCCAGCATGTCCTTTTACATAGATGGTTACCATGCATATGGAATGATCACACATTGACATCACTGGGAACATCGACATGTGACCGACTGAGTTTTGGACGACAAAGCCCGCCGAGTCTCTAAGACACAGGACTCGTCAATGCGCGGGGCCACACAGGGCAGCAGCGGGAAACAACCTGCGTCGCGCGGAGGACCACGTGATGCGTGGGGAGATCTTTGGTCATCTCTGTTATATTATAGAGGAGAAAACGGCGGTTGACCTGCTTGAAAAGAGATTCAAATGATATGTTTTACAGTTTTACATGTAACAAAGGTTGAAACATGGCGAGGTAGCATGAGTGCTTGAAGTCTTTCTTCCGTCCTTGGATGTTCTTGTTGCCTCAGCAAAAGGACAGAGTCAAACTGTACTTCATCACAACATGGCGGTGGGTCAAAAACCAGGACACCCTGATTTAACCACCCAAAAAATGTCACAGGATATATATCACCGTATAACATGAGGTGGACCCGTGGACCCTACCAGCAATTCCACCGACCCTGATCCTCGGGTCGGCGGAATGCCGACATGTTCTTCGCGCCTGAAAGCGTGAGGCTCGCATTGCAGGTGTCACACTCTTCCTCCACCTCGCCCACGAATCCTCGGGTTTCGAGGCAACGCTCAACGGTGCTCATCCCGATGCTCCGATGCGCTGTGCCGCGAGTCGATACGCGGCTCAGCGCGGATCGGCGACCCGCCAAGAGTGGTTAGGACCCGTAAATAGGACCCGTCTTGGGGTACCCAACTGGGATAGGATAGAACAACGGAATCAAGTAGTCCAAGCGACCCTGCAAAATTGGTCAGGGACCCTCCAGAACTGGGGTCCTGGCGGCTAGGGCACCTCCCTGACTAATGCCCAAGAAAACACTTCAACTCTTTAAGCCATTTCAAAACCGCCATCTTTGGAGAGTGAGCACCAAGTCTCTTAGTGTTTGCGAGGTGCTTGTGGTGTGTTTTCCATGTCCCAAGGCTTGTCCGGAAACCCAATCTCTTCGCGTTCTCGTTTGGTGCCTTAGACGCTGTACAGGCACCACAGTTAAGGGGGGATTAACAAAAACAACTGACCAATTTCATTGGTTAGGGGTCCGCCAGTGAGACATATCCAGTTTTCAGTTAGGGTTTGGGCATTCATAGATCTTAGAGCCAAACAACATACGATATTTGATTTGTTTTTGACGCCCAAACCCTTAAGTACCAGGACACCCATATGATACCCCCATCTTCAAAAAAACAGAACATACAAAAGGAGTACTGTATAGGAGGCGGGGGTACCATATGTCTTCTCTTCCAGTTCAATTTGTTTGGTGGGCCACACAGTCTCCCAAGTCAGATTCAGCCTCTATTCCCACATGAACATCATAATATATCACAATGAACCTGTCCCTGCACACAGGAACAAAGCTACCAAACAAGGAGAGAACCATGATGTTCAGAAGAGAAACACAACCTTTGGACCGTTCATCCCTTTCAGCCCTCCCAACATAAAAACCTTCGGCTACTTTACAACAATCCTTACCACTCATCTACGCTCCAAAGTCACCTAGCAACGCTCTTGATGATTGTTTAAGTAGCCTATGACTGACTTGCGGAAGCTCATGAACTGCTTGGCCTGGGTGTGGAACACTCATCCGCTTTCCGAGCTTCTTGGGGCTGAGATCTGACATGAACTGCAGAAACCCAGAGGGTCGGCTCCGAAACCAGCGGAGCGTGGTCTCTGAACAGAAAAAGAACATGAACCCTTATCATCACCGCAGTCCCAGCGTCCGGCATCGCAACTCCAGGTGCCATTCATCTTCACATAACCTGACCAACGCATTCCCGTGTTTGAAGAATTGAAGAATCCGGGGCTAGCTGGAATTAGCTGGATTCCAGCGTCTGGCGGCCTTCCCCCCTTTGACAAAATGGTTAGGAATCCACCAGCGGCCGCTTCTATTGAAAGAGCCTCGACTCCAACGTACCCAAACACTCCAGGTATGGATAGGTATGGAATGTCTATTCTAGAATATTGAATCTATGCCGCCCCCATTGACCCCTTTCAACCACCCCTGGCGCGGCCGTACTCCCGGCGCCACGTGGCGCCGTCGTGTCTACTCCGGTCCAAGGGGAAGGGGTGTGAAGAGGGTTGGAAGTCCAGAAGTCTTGTGAAAGGGGATTCCAAAACCCGCCATTGGGCCGAACGCACATCATAGCACCGCAGCTTTCATGCATTTTCTGAGGCTTCCTGGAGGCGAAAGGAACATCTTGGAACCTTCGCCGGTTTTGTGAGGAGCACGAGTGGCTGCGGCCAGTTGCTGGATCTTGGATCTTATTCCCTCCTCAGTCAGATCCATGGTCTCTGGCTCTGGCTGCCATCTACGGCCTTGCCTCCTCAGCAGCCCAAACCTGCTCAACACATCCAGTTCATGTCCTGCAAACCCCAAGGCTCGGTACTGACAAAGGCGGGACAAATAACGATCCCAGGATCCATGGACCGACGCTCGAGCTCCGAGTGGCGCGTCGAAAACCAGCCCTGGACCTGGAGAGGTGGGGTGACTTGTCAACGGAAATGACTTGCAGCCAAAGCGTGGAGAAGCTCCTCCTCAGTTTGTCCAAGTCTGACTGCAGTCATCGCTCCGCAGCTCCGCCTTGCGGAGTGTCCATCCAAGTGATGCTGAGTCCGCAACCAATGGGCAACACAATGTAATAAATCAAAAAAGGCAACCAGAAAACCGCTGAACACAGCGGCCAGTGACCGTCGGCAGTCTCCGGAGAGTTGGTCCCCAGAAGGCAGCAAGCCTACCCGCGGCAGCAAGGCCAAGGCCTTTCTTGAGGTTTTACAATCCATAATAGACATGGTAACCTGGCAGGGGCTTGATGAATAGAGAGTCTACATCATACCTGCCTTCTAGCGAGTCATCACAAAAAATAGAATAAAAACAAACTGTTAATGCTCTGACAAAATTTGGTGCCTTTTCTTCGTGTCATTCCTCCGTGTAAAAAACCAACCAATTGGGCGTCGACGGCATCGACTCACCTTCACCGATGGCGGACACTGCGCCACACAACTCACACCGTACACTGACTCACCTCGCCTGCTGGAAGTGGACTTGGATCCACACAGCCCTGGGGGCCGCGGCTGACGACGACGACCGCGGACGACGACGACCACGGACGACGGAGGGCGGATGGGAGGAACTGCCGGTGTGAAGCGAACGGACGTCCCAGTCGCACGGGCATCTTTTGTTGGAGGGGGGGGGTGGACAGTTTCCAAGGACCAGCTGAGCTGGTGATTTTTTGGGGGGGAAGTGTTCGCAGGGTGGAAGGAACGCACTTCAGCACTTCATGCAGTTACAAAGGGGATCCATTTGGAGGAAGTCGGGGTGCCCCTGTCATATCCACTGGATGGGACGAGCCACACCACCCCAACATGTGACTTCTGGTACAACATCCTGGAACCCAAGTCCACTCCTGGACTCCAAAGGAAAATATTTCAGGTGGTTGTCACTCAAGTTCTGGATATACACCTGGGAAGATAGCCTTTGAACCTGAAAATGGACCTTTGGAGAAGACTATAGCTTCCTGCACGAAGTTGAGTGGTTCGACACAGAAAACAACCACGCACATCTCTTATACTGTGCCAGCATCGCAGAGTTTTGCATCAAACGTTCTACGCACATTATCCGGTGTGTTTTTTAGATCTCCAAACAACAGCCCTGGGATCAACATGAATCCCCCAAGCCTTGATCAACATCAAGTACGGAAGAAGAAAAACACCCTCTTCTTCGATGCCTAGCCACTTGGTTTCTACATCCATCTACACCTCCCCATCCAGCCCCTGGACCCGGCCTGAAAGATGCACTCAGGGGCTTGGAAGTGGATCACCTGGAGGGCGGGTGAGGCGGAACAGATGAATCGGCAGAACCGGTGGCGCGAAAGGAAGGATACCTCTTGGTGGAAGCAACCGCTTTAAGCAATGCTTTCGTTTTCCGTTCAGGATCTCGTGCTAGTGTATTGCAGGTTCTAACATCTATCCTTCAACATCTCAAAGCAATGCTTTCGTACACACCGTGTCGTAGCAGTGTTGCCAACGTGCCCGAAAACAAAAAGGACCCGGACGGACCCTGGAACCACAAGCAAGGGCTGCTCCCAAAAATGGGAGCAACCCTTGATGTAAAAGCAACTGGTGTAAATGAACCACGTTCTTAAATGAACCACCCCTTTTTGGCCGATCTGTGTCGATCTCGGATCGAGCAACCAGACGCTGGCGTCCCGAGTACAGCAGGATCCACATACCCAAGAGTAGTGTTTCACAGACTTTTTGTAGGACTGAAAAGTCCTGGTATGCTATATAATTGTGCGATTAGTTACTATGTGTGATATACATTCTATTATATTTGTTAATATTATGTACATTGATGTACATTGTTGTCTTTTATAGTACAGTGCCCCTAATATAATATATACATGATCAATACAATATGAGTGTCCCAGAGCCGTTTCGTAGACTCAAGAGTGCTTTACCTCCAGTCACAGTCCAGTGAGAATGATATTAATTTATCAATATAGGCCATCAATTGTTCACAGTTGAACCCCTCTTGGAAAGGCCCTCTGAATGAAAGCTCACTCAGCTTCCTCAAGGGTGCGTTCCAAACTCCCCAGCCCAAAAGATTCACCCACTCACCACCACTCCCGATGAAACGAAACACATCGCGACGCACCCACTCCCCACCACCGGTGGTGCCTGGGTGGGGTCCTTGTTGTCTACGGGGCAGGCGAAACCATCGCTGAGGTTGCCTTGCGATTCTGGTGACGTGCCTTTTGTTTGGGCGCGGTTTGTTTCCGCGGTGTTTTCAGCATGCCACAAACGGTGGCGCCGCCTTAAACCGCGGGTTTCATGTGTGTGTGTTTCATCCTCCAAAGGGCCCAAGAATTGAAGACATGATTTCAAAACAGGGTGGTGGGGTGTTTGAAGACGCGGCACGAGATACTCAAGGTTGGGTTCAGGGCACGCAGGGTAGCTCTATTGGTGTGTGCTGTTTTTCCCACTGAAATCACTGTATTCTTTCCTTCTTTCTTTCTTGTACGCTAAGTGCCGGGTGACGGCTCTACGTCTTGCAAAGCAAATTCATGAATTAAGTTCGGGATGAAAGTCTGGTGCTGGAGCGGGGAGCTCATTGTCTTCAAAGGTTTGCACAAGAGCTCTAACCCACTCCACGTTCATCAGCTTTTTCTGCACCTTAGGCTGCCGATGGATCCAATCATCAAACAAGGCAGCGATGAACCTACAGAACATCGGAGGATATTCCTTCAAGTGGGAAGTGTTCCAACCATTCTTTCCCATTCCGATGTTGGATCCAAAGTTGCAGGTTGAGTTTCTCCATGTTCTGTCGCATTTGCGAGCTGACTCAAGAGAAATTCCTGCCAGGAGTAGCTAAGTCGGCTTTGCACTGTCTTGCCCATACATACCCTGCATGACATCTAATACACAAAACCAGGTTGTCTGTTGCAACCATTCTATTACGGCTGCAAGCCAGATTGCCGGAGCCTCCTTCGAAGAAGTGCCAAGAGAGTGTGGGTTAGCAGGATGTTCCAGAAAACCAAAGCCTCCCGTGACTGCTTGTAGAATCACGGCTCGTAGGTTGAAGAGCATCAGCATGTTTCCCATCTCCGTTTGTGCGCGTTCCTTCATCGAAATGTCCAGCAATCCCCACAGATTGTGTCTCGTTCGCAGCGGCCTGCGAGGTCGTTTCATGTGGGCAGGTGCGGATTGGAACCGGGCGATGCTCCAAGTCTCGCAGGGAGGCCCGCCAAAGACCCCTGCCACCGATCCTGCAGCAATGAAGCGGTACCACATTGCCTGTTGTCGTGGATCTGCAAGGTTGCATCTTTTGGCATCAATAGCCACATCTACCGAGGCTACTGTGAGTATTGTGCCTGCAGGGATAGACAATTCTTCTAGTTTGGACTGCAGGTCGCCACTTCTTCTGCGACCGCTAAACAAATGAAGTACGATTAGCTCTTGTGGAAGGAAGGATCTGACCACAGGTTCTGTGGGGAAGAATGTCACTTTCCGTCGTTCCTCCTCTGTGGCCAGAAAGGTACTTTCATCCGTGGAATGCTGAGATGTCCAAGTCGGTCTTTGAGATCTTGCAGCCATGCCTGAACCAGCCTCCCAGCTTGTTGAATTCTCCGGTCGGCTCCATCCTCAAAAGCACTGAGCCAATTAGCAAAGGTTCGTTCAATCTGTTCGAAAGGCAAGGCTCTACGGCATTCATTCACCGAGGTTTGGTATAAACGCCTCTTCTCTCGTTGGCACCAAGAAATCTGACAAAGCAGCTTGGAGATTGAGCATCAGAGGATGTTCTGAAATGTTGGGCAGGCTAGGCGGAATCTGGTCACCTACACTCAGAAAGAAGTTTCGACGTGCAGCACTATATCGTAGATGATGTCTCAACCGCTCAGTGGTGAGATATTGTTTAGTGCAGCAAAAGCCAGTGTTTCCTGTGACCGCTCTACCAGAGAGGCTTTGATAATTGTGCTTCTGGAAGGCATGCAGAAACCACCCTTCAGCTTTGGTAAAGCTCTTTTCGCATATGAGGCATAAATGCGCGCCTTGCTGGACTTGCGGCTTCTGACATGGCACATGTGGACACAAACTGGCGAAAACCCATGGTACGCTCTGGTAACCTTGGCATTGCGCAATCTCCAGCTTTTCCTTCGGAAAAGAGCTGTATGCGCGTATCTTGCCCATTGTTTGGGATTCTGTGCCAGTTCTTCCCATTCTTGGCCGTCCTGTGGTACATGCACCTTGGAATCGCGCCCCAGTGCTGAAAAACCCCATTCCAGCGACTCAACATAAAGTTGTCGCCAAGCCGGTACTTCTCCAGTCAAGGTCCAGACCAAATCTGGCGCTGTCCGCATCATGGCTCCGGCATGGCGAAATCGTGCCACTTGTAGCAGGTCTTCCGGATCATCGCATTTGAGTTCGATACGAATGTCGTCTCGGCGGAGACGTGGCTCATCTGGTTTGACAGGGATTAAAAGGGCGTACAACCCCCAAACTGCGGTAATGAAAGCCTTGTGCTCTCTTTTGGTCAAGGGGGGCCATGATCCAATCCCCCACGTCATGACTGACAAAACGACTGAGCAAAATAGCTGAAATCTAGTTTTGACAGGTAGCTTCCTATTGCGAAGGCTGCTCTGGCCTTTGCACATCGAGTCCTGATCTCATGGTTAAGAGATCCTTGCGGGTTAAATGCTTGTATTGTGTCACAAGTGGTACACAAACGGTACTTTCATCAAGGACAACAGGAAAGGTGGCTTTCGTTTGGGAAAACATTCGTCGTCTTACATGCACAGCCCCTGGCCCATGCAGGGCCAGTATAATCGCAGTCTTGCTGTCTCCGACCGCAATCTTCATCCCATATTTGGCCAAGGCTCGAAAAAGGATGTATGCAGCGTGGGCTTACGTCAACATTATAAGGGATTTCAACGACCAAAGCAAGATCATCTGCCCAGGTGACATGGAAGAGCGAAATGTCTTCGTCCGTCTCCTCCCAACTGAAGAAATCTCTTTTCCTGATTCTCTTGAACTTCACTAGCAGGTCATGCTGCTCCATGTTCGACTTGTCGTAGTACCTGGGAAAACACCAGGTTAAACACGATATCTGCCAGAGAGTCCCCAGGACGAGTTCCTCGAAGAGTATGGATCAGCTCTTGTCCAGAATAAGAAAAGAAGGTCCCTTGCAATGTCTCCTGGAGCACCAGATGCTGCACTGGATTGGCGCCCAAAGTTTGGTAGGCACACTGCTGATCAACAGATGTTCACAGTAAGTCCAGTGAATCCTCACTCAGGCCCATGCGGTTAAGCACCAATGCCATGCCAGTATCATTGAGTCTTGCGCCAGTTGCTACTTGACGCAGTACTCTGTAGTAGGCAGCTGAGACATCGCCAAAAATCAGGCCAACACTGCGATTTTTCAGTTTCGCTCGTAAAAGGAGAGCTCTTGAAACTTGTGTTCCAAAAACTGCTTGTTGTGCAGGTTTGCCCCCTAGTTGCATTTGGTCCGTGTTGTCCAAATATGGGAGATTGAGTCTTTCTCCATATGAGGCTCGTAGAGCCTTTCCCAGGACTGAAGTAAGAAGTATACCGCGATGGTTCTCGCACACGTCAAAAGCGCCACGGCCCTTGAAAAGCGAAAACAAATTGCCTCCTTTCCACTGCAGGGGTTCTTCGAGGCGGCAGACAAACTTCATGAGGATAGGAAAGATGACTGCTGCAGCTGACCCAGGGAGCGCTTTGAGAAGTTCAGTTGGAATGCGGTCAGGTCCCGGAGCTGAACCGTATCTCATTTTCCTCATTGTCTGTTACAAATCAATCTGGCTGGGTAAGTCTTCCAGGAGATAAACCGATGGTCGACACTGGCTATGTTGTCGTAAATCACTGTATACCCAAAGACCAAAGACACCACTGATAGAGCAAGATGTACCTTTTCCACTCATGACCTCTCATGGATTTGTGTGCCACAACAAGTAATGGGGGTGGAAGCTCGCCTCTGTGGCTTTTGATAGTTACACAATTCTACAATACATAGTGAGGGATGTTCCTCTCTCTCTGAGGGCTAGGGATGGAACGAGGTTGCCATGCAATAGGTGTTTGACGTTGGTTGGTGGCTTTATAATACTGAAATTCTTCAGGTCACCAGTCAGCTCACCCTGTTCTTTCTTGGTACTTTGACACTGCAGGTATGTTGGTCTGTCCAATTAAAAGTGGGAGTGGGTGTCCCAAGCCGTTTGAAAGGTCACTTCTAACTACTTTAAAGCCGTCCCTGGCCTGGGCGGTCCATGGGTCAATTGGGGTGTGCTCAGTACATGTTCAAAGGAAGTTTAGTGTACGACACCGCTCATCAATACACTACTCATCATACACCACTCATCATACATCACTCATCATACACCACTCATCATACACCACTCATCATACACCACTC